ATAGAGACGCCGTTTTGAGCATGTCACGCACACCAAACACGGTTCCAGCGTTACGTGTAAAGGCATTCACCATCCCAGTCGCGATCACTCGCCTCTGCTCCTCCGAGCGTTTGATTTGCTTCGGGTTGAAAAGATGGTTAGAACCTAACCGACGTAGCATGCGCCAGTAAGTACCATTTGGAGCAAATCCCATGGCTCGGTTAAACATCAAACCGTAAGCGGTCTCGTCAACTGGCCGGTCTGCAAAAACCGAACTGTTCAATATTTCCTTTGCCACTTCAGGATGACACGTCACTATCACCTTAGTATCACCGAGACTAAACGCCATGAGCCGTTTGGCGTTACTCATCGCAGCCACAGCCGCTATACGCTGATGAGCCACGTGGCTGGACCTTAGGCTCATGCTTCCCACGAGTGGGAACCCTCTCGGACCAGGAATAACATTCTTGTTTTTTCGGTTAAAGCAGGGAGTAAACCGACAAGTGAAGAAGTATCTTCCCCAAGCCGGTCCACCCGGCGTAGACCAAAATACGATGCTTAAGGTGAACCAAGTGATGGCTATGGCGACAAGCAAAGAAACAAAATGTTCTTGCATGAAAAGATTAAATTTTGATGCAAGAGCAAAGACCCACAAACTTTCTATCTCGGTTCCCATCTTCAGGAACATTATGGATAAACGGTTCTCTTTTGGTTTTGTGATAATTTTTCGTTTTGGAGGTTGTGATTTAAGTTTGGGTCGTTGTGGAGCTTTAAATAGACGTGCGAAATGTGAAGATCTTAGCCAATGGCAAATCAAGAGAGTACTTTAAACTTTTAAAAAATACTTATCAGTCCAGAGTTTCTTTCTTCATATACATTTTAAATTTCAGCATTCAAACTTTTAAAAACTTTTTTTTTTTTTTTTTTTTTTATCAAAAAAAAAAAGTTATTTGTTGGTGCTCAAACGGGTATATGCTAACAACTCATTATGCGCTCGTGGTGATCTATCTGCATATGTCATGTATGTTTGGTACACTCAAATTACTATACCCCTCGACAATTTTTTTAGTCTAAATAAATATTATCTATCGACGATTATACTTACATCTGTCCTATTTAAACAATTTTTCAAGCAACAGTACCATCGTGCAATGGTCCGCTTTTTAATGTATTATAATTATTTGATTATTGAGTAATGAATAGTATCATATATCCTAAAATTTTGTAAGGAAACGCATACGTAGACAATTTGTATATATATTATACTTTATTATATATCATGCTTTATATATGGTAATGAAAGTGAGTATATATGCATCTTAATAAAGTAAATTGCATATCAAACGTAGTGCTCAATTAACAAAAGACAATATAAATATTAATGAAATATATATAAGTAACTACTATTAAATCAAAGATGCCATTTCGGATGAGACTTCTCCATACAAGTTGGGAATGTACGACTTTTCGCATGCAAATTGCTCTGACCTTTTCTTTTATAGTCAACGACCTTTCCTTTTATGTATAGATTCTAACACTACAGCTCAGATATGCTTTTCTGTTTTAACATTGTAAATATATTATTTAGAATAAATTATTAATTTATCAAAACAATAATATAGCAAGTAGCTTATATATCAAGGCCAACTCTGAATTTTAATGGGTTTGATCGATGAAGTCGTAATTTACATATTTAAAAGAATCTTTCTTCTGCTTACGCTTATAAAAATTAAACTAATTAGTAACTTTACACATATTACAAAGGTATCAGAACAGAAATAAGTAAACTAATTAAGTGGTTACGAACAAAGCACGTTGGTGGCGGATTAATCATAAGTGCATGATGAATATAATGTTTATATTAATGTGAGATGCATTAATACTTGATTATATAATAAAGACCCAATTTGAGGCCTAGAGAGTGAAAAGCGAGTTTCGTGATTGGAGCACTTCATATTATTCGGTTGCATGCAATAGAATCATATCTTATGTTGGATTTGGATTATATTCGAAATTCTAAGTGACACTCATAGTTGATGTCACGGAAAATAGTATGAAAAGATATATCGTAAATCTATTTTCACTGTAATGTTATACAAAACTCTCCACTAACTTATATATACGTTGCGAAACTAAGTCACAATTATCCTGGTCATCTAACACGGATATAGGCCTATGCTTTAGGGCCCATTTGAATACCCGGAGAGAGGGTCTATCCGTGGACTGCACCTCCCCTTAGAGTTTAGTCTGGGCCTCTCCATGGGCCTAGTATATCCCCAGGTTAATCAAAAAAAAAAAAAAAAAAAAAAAAACTTATATCGACGTGGGTGAATGAACGCATGAGCATCATATAAACATATCTTGAGTTAGTAATATGTTCTGACAATTCTAAGACTGATAGCAGAAAACTATAGTTATCAAATCTAGAATAGAAAAAAACGGCAAGGTTGTTTGTTTTTCTTTCTTCCAACATATTTCATTACTTTAATAATTGTGATGGGTAACAAACATTGCATCTTTAATGGCATACGTAATAATAGTATGAAAATAGTAATATGCTTGTTCGGGGATAGCTTATTTTGCAAGTATATCTGCCACCGTATTTGATGTTGTCCTAATCCAGTTGAACTGAATATCTTCTTCATATTTTGCCGATTTCCTAACTCCTTTTATCCGCCGGTTGGTAACTGCAAAATCTTTCACTGTCTTGTTCAATAATACATTATCGCCTTTTTAACACCAAACGTTAGAAAAAAAAACAAGGAGTGAAGACAAAATTAATAACAAAAAATACTAAAAAGAAGTCATATATACACGTTAAGGGTTGTTTTTTTGTTAAAAAAAAAATTGGAATTCAGAACAAAACTTTAAAAATTAAAAACTTCATGAAAAAATGTCTAACTAAATGTTCTAAAGGCTCTTGATTTTCCTGACAAGTTCATAAACTGGATTAATCTCTGCATCAGTACTGCTTCGTTTTCGGTTCAGATTAATGGAGAGCTTGCAGGCTATTTTCAAAGTGAAAGAGGGTTAAGGCAGGGTTGTTCGTTATTACCTTACCTATTTGTCTTATGCATGAACGTTCTGTCTAAATTGATTGACGAAGCAGCTGGTAAGAAGGTTATTGGGTACCATCCTAAGTGCAAAAATATTGGGTTAACACACCTATGTTTTGCAGACGATCTTATGGTTTTTGCTGATGGCTCTAAGAGATCTCTTGATGGTATTCTTAAGGTGTTTGAAGAGTTTGAGAAGTTCTCGGGCCTTAAAATCAATCTGGAGAAGTCGACTTTGTACATGGCGGGGGCTTCTAGGCGAACTAGTGAAGATATATTGGTTTTCCCTTTCGAAAACGGTCAACTCCCAATAAGATATCTTGGATTGCCTCTGCTTACTAGGAGAATGACTGTAAGTGATTTCCTACCTCTTATTGAGAAGATACGATCAAGGATAAGCTCTTGGACTAGTCGGTTTCTTTCTTTCGGAGGCAGATTACAACTAATTCAGTCTGTAATAATGAGTTTGGCGAATTTCTGGTTAGCAGCTTTCAGGCTCCCAGCTTCCTGTCTCCAAGAAATTGAGAAGCTCTGTTCGGCCTTCTTGTGGTCAGGCCCGTCTTTGAACACAAGGAAAGCTAAGGTTGCTTGGTCAGTGGTTTGTCAGCCAAAGAATGAGGGTGGTTTGGGTTTACGGCCATTGAAGGAGGTTAATAATGTGAGTTGTTTAAAGCTTATCTGGAGATTGCTTACGGTGAAAAACTCTTTGTGGGTGCATTGGGTCAGAGTATACTTGATTCGTAAAAACTCATTCTAGACAGTTAGAGAGACAACACAAACAGGGTCTTGGATGTGGGTTAAGATCTTAAAATATAGAGAAAAGGCAAAAGATTTCTATAAGGTGAAGGTGAATAATGGAAAACAGTCATCTTTCTGGCATGAAATCTGGTCAGACATTGGTTGTCTAATAGATGTCACAGGCCCGCGAGGATATATTGATATGGGAATAAGAAGTAATGCTACAGTTGAGGAAGCTATGATTCAGCACCGGAGAAGAAGGCATAGAGATCAGATATTTAATTTGATTGAAGATGAACTTGCGAAGTATAAAGAGATGGCTGAGAGTGCTGATGATATTGGATTATGGAAGCAGAAAAGCAATGTGTACAAGAGTAAATTCTCTTCTAAACTGACGTGGGAACTGATGAGAATTAGAGGGGGTACTAAGGAGTGGAGCAAACCTATATGGTTTTCATTCGCTACTCCAAAGTATGCTTTTCTCTCCTGGGTAACAATTCAAGATAGGCTTGCTACTGGAATCAGAATGCTTAGGTGGGGTGGTAACGTTACTGCAGCTTGTTCTTTTTGCGATGAACTTGTTGAAACAAGAAACCATCTGTTTTTTTAGTGCAATTACTCTTCTGAAGTGTGGGGCAATTTGATGAGAGGTGTAATGGAGGGTGAGTATACTGATAGTTGGACAGACATTGTTCTCTTGTTGTCTAAGGGTCAGAATACGATCAAGTCTTTTATGATGAGGTATGTGTTTCAAGCAACGATACATGGGCTGTGGCTAGAGAGAAATAGTAGAAGGCATGGAGAGAGACCTTCACCTCCTATCAGGTTAATAAGATTGGTGGACAGGGCGATGAGGAACAGGTTCTCATCTATAAAAAATCTTGGAGATAATAGAATGGAAGAAGGGTTACGGTACTGGTTTTCCACAAGACCAGTGGTTTGATTTTATGAGATATTTTGTATAGGAGGGTGATTGGTTCATTCTAAAAATAGTTCTAAAAAACTTTACATAAGGTTGCATTGTATTAAGTACCAAAGGGTTTTTGAATAAAAATTTAACATTTATTCAAAAAAAAAAATTGTCTAACTAAGACAAACATTTTGGGCCCTTTTCCTAGTGGGCCGTGGGGCTAGACACCTAATGTCCCTCCCTCCTGTCAGCCGGCACTGGATTAAAGAAGCAGACCTTTTTTTTTTTGTGTCTGTGTGTTCAGCTAATAAGATTGATCGGCGGGGAAGATGGAGTTCTGTCCAACGTGTGGGAACTTGCTGCGTTACGGTAATTCAAAGTTCTTCTGCTCGACATGTCCTTACATTGCCCGCATCGAGAGACAGGTTTTTCTTTAACTCAAACTAATCAAAAACCACTCTTTTTTTTTTTTTGAAGTAAGATTTTTATATCTCTCTTGGGTTGGGCATATGATGTGAACGCAGGTGGAGATAAAGAAGAAGCAATTGCTGGTTAAGAAATCCATTGACCCGGTTGTGATGAAAGATGATATACCACAAGGACCTGAAACTGAAGGTATTTTTTTCGCTATTCTGGAACACTTCCAGAACATGGCTTGATCTATTAGTAATCGATGATTGGTTGCGAGTATGTATCAGTGATGATAGAAAGCGGAAATCGATAAATTGGTAGAACACTTGATTTAGCGAGTAACAAGTAGATGGAGTTATAAAGCATGTTTGTTTAGGACTATTATAGAACTAGTTAGGTAGAATCATGGTCACATTGCTTCATTTTCTTTCTCAACCTAGTGATGTAATTGTTTTATTTTTGGTGTGGTTGGGATGTTTGTTTGTTGATGAAGCGCCATGCCCAAGATGCGGGCACGACAAGGCATACTTCAAAACAATGCAGATTCGATCAGCGGATGAGCCAGAATCGAGATTTTATAGATGCGTCAAGTGCGAGCAAACTTGGCGCGAGGAATGATCTAAGAGGCTTTGAATGATCTATTCTAAGCATTTATGTTGGCTTTTTTTTTTTGTTTTTTGGTTCTATAGCATTGTCAGCAGATTTGTTTGGGACTTTTCTGAGCTCAATTTTGATTCCAACGTTTATTAATCAACTACATTAAGGAAAATATTTATATCATCAGCTGATATTTCTCAGCTCAATTTGTATCATCTGAATGGTTTGGGTCTGAGGTGAATAGGTACAGATATAGGGTTTAGAAGGGATGTGGTCATTGTGGTGAAGGTTTCCGTGGAGGATTTGAGCAGCATTGAGCAAGTTGAAGATGAGGAAGAAGAAGATTCTGATACCAACTTTGTTAGGTGACTACTATATGAATATGATCAGTTGAGTGAGTGTTTTGTGATGAAATAGTGTCAAATGCCTTAGTAGAAACTGAACGCCGCCGTTTTGTGCTAAAAAGCAGTCGTCGTCTTTCAGCTAAAACCAAACCGGAAAAGTCCGCGAGAGAGAGAGAGAGAGAGAGAGGGACTTGTGAGTTTCCCATATAAGCTTCCTTTTGACCGGAGAATCGCCGTCTCGAAATATCTTCTTCTTATATACTCATTCTCTTCTTCGGGTGGCTCTCTCTTCTCTCCCTCTCTGGCTGTTCCCCTGCCACGGCTTGGACTCTTGTTAATCTCTCCCACTTCCTTGTAAGCTCCTCTTGCTGCTGATATTTGAATCTGGTTTTTTTGACACTTTCCAAGTTTTTTTGTTTATTGATTAGTTTGGTTTATCATACGTTTTTTTTCTTTTGAGTTGGTCAAGCTGTGAATTGATATCAGTTTTGGATATTAATAGCAATGCAATGCAATTATTTTTGGCGGTGTGGATCACCACATTCACAATCACAGGTAACATATCACAGCTTCCACTGGATGAAAGGAACACCTTTTGGGGAAGACCAAGGCATCTACAATTCTCTCACCTGGTGGGAACAGATGGACAACGGCCAACAGCTTACCACCAACCGCAAGTTCCTTACCCTCCTTCCCATTCTCCTCTATAAATCTCTACCTCTTTCCTGTTTGTATTTTTGTAGTGATTACATTCTATTTTGAGTCGCATTTACCTTAACACTCTTATCCTTCTAGTTTACCTTTGAGATTTGAACTCTTTAATCTTCTCTTTTCACTCATATTATTTTTGTGATGGTTTTTAACTAAATAGATAATGTGGACATTTTTTTTTGAAAAAAATTGCAGGTACTTGATAGCATCGCATACAACAGATTACAGACATCCATGGCTGTTGCTCAACACACTCGCTCTCATGGTTCTACTTGTTCCCTAACATGCACAAGGTTCGCATCTTCGGCATCAATGCTGACAAATAAACTAGTTACCTTCTTCTCACCAGATCCACCTCTCTTATGGTAAGCAATAAGAATAGAAAAAGCAAACATTACTGTTGATATGAATTGGTTTATTAACTCCTGAGAGTTATGTTTGTTGGATATTCGTAAGTAACTTCTTATTTTAAAAGCTTTGTATGATTTTGTGTCCTGATAGATAGACAGAGAAATTCATAAATCTATTCTAGTCAAAATAGCTTGGGCTTACTTACTTACTGGGCTTAGGACACAATATAGTCCTTCTTAAACAATAATTAGGTTTAATGTTTGGCGCAAGTATGTATGCATGTCGTGGACTCAAAAGAGTTTTTATCCATTATTAGAACACGAGGGAGGATGTGTTGAGTGCGAGTAATGATTCGGCTAGATCTACAAAACACGTGGCCTACTGACTATGTGATCTCCAATGACACGTATCCAATTGAAGTCCACCTGGTTTACACATATGTGCACACTTTATCCAGTAAACCACTCGTTTTATCTTATAAAGCAGTTGGCAAAAAAAATCAAATTACAATGATTCAAGATTGTTAGTCTGATAAAAAAAAATAGTATTAGGTGTAAACTTTAAAGCCGACAAAATGAAAGGAATGAATGAATAATCAAAGATGGAATAAGACTAATGATATTTTGTTATTCACATTGTGGTCCTTGTAATAGTAGAAAAAATAAAAATGTCTTATCCTTTAAATAAATGTGGGACCTACACATTTTGAACCGTCGATTCTACCTCTAAAAGACAGTTGTAGTCAATCCAGCCGCTTACCAAGACAACAAGTTATTGAAACGGAGTCGTTTTGAACTCGGACATTTAACGAAACTGTAAAAATCGGTTCGAATCAAATGGAAACAGAGTGCGAAGGAAGAAAGGAAGGAAGAAGGAGAAAAGCAGAAAAGCCAAAAGCTTCGGTTAGAAGATCACTTCGTTTGTATTATCAGATAGATTCAGTGGAATCTTCTAATTAAATTAAAATGGTATCTTTACTTTTCTTTTTCTTTTTCTCATGATCTTCTTCTATTATAACAAATCTCTTCCTCTGTTTCTGCTTTCGTGTCTGATTTACAGAAAAAAATGCTCACTTCTTCTCTTTGTTAGTTCGATCTGATTGTTTTCCTTTCCAAAATTTCAGCCATAGTTTCGTCTTACGGTTTTGTTTGATTGCTCTGCTTCTGAATTTTTGGTAATTTCCATTTGTTTTCTACCGAGCAAGTTGAGTGTTTTTTTTTAAAACTGATTTTGCAGAGATTGGTATTCTTATGCATGGATCTGACAGAGTTTCAGTAATGAATTTGGTTGAGATTGTATTAGTAATCATTGACTGTCAATTTTTTTTTTTTTTATTTATGAAGATGCTTGAATGATCGTAGCAAGACTTGCGTCTTGTACTATATTGTATGTTGCTTGATTAAATTGTTTAAAGCAGTCCCTTGTATATGAATTAATCATTTGCTTAGAAGCAATCTCGTAAGTAGCAAGAATATCCAAATATATATATGAAAAAATAAACTCTTTACTTCTGTTTTATGTTTTAATTGCGGGATCTTAGGGGAAATAAGAGATAACAAGCTTTTTTTTTTATTCATAAACAAAAGCTTTACTTCTGTTTTATCTCTTGATTTTGTCTTTAATTTCTCAGGGTGTCTTAAGAAGATTGATGTGATAATGGGAGCAGCTGAAGCAAGAGCACTCTGGCAAAGAAGAGCAAGTCGTTGTTTTCTTGTTCATGAAGATCCTACAATGCCTCCCAAGTTAGCTTGCTGCCACCATCAACAACAACAACAACAACATTCTTCTTCTTCTTCTTCGGCCAAGAACAGCTTTTCTTCCACAAGTTTTGGAGATTCCTCTGATTTCTCTTCTGATACCAAATGGTGGCTTAAGGGATCAGCTAATTTTGATGAAGAGATTGCAAACTCTTTCCTCCATGATACCAAATTGCAACAACTCGTCGACTTAACCGGGATAAGTAAAGAAAAAGAAGAAGAAGAATATGGCTTTGTTAGCAAGAAAGATATAGCTACAACACCATGGTGGAGAAGCACTACGGATCAAGATGAACTAGCTCTATTGGTCGCCACTAGATCACTTGATCATCATAATATTCAAAACTGCGATCTTCCTCCACCCCAGAAGCTCCACAAGAGCATTCACTGCACTAGTGGCGACAAAGGGTTTCAGACAGCAGTTAAATCACAACCATGGAAACAAGGTCGGTTTGAGAGATCTTTGAGTTACAGCAGCAGTAATAGCACAGATAGTCCAAAGTCTTCTCCTAAGAGCGATGATCTAAGCAAAGGCCAGCTTTTAGAAGCGCTAAGGCATTCTCAAACCAGAGCAAGAGAAGCAGAGAAAGCTGCCAAAGAAGCTTGCGCTGAGAAAGACCGTCTGGTAACTATCTTGATGAGGCAAGCGAGTCAGATTTTAGCTTACAAGCAATGGATAAAGCTTCTTGAGATGGAATCTCTCTATCTGCAGGTGAAAGAGGAAGAAGAACAAGGGCAGGTCGAAGGAATAAATCTGAAGAAGAGGAAGCAAAGAGGGAAGAAGAAGGGTGAGATTGGGAGATATGTGATGGCTTTTGCGTTGGGGTTTAGTCTCATTGGTGCTGGTCTGCTCTTAGGTTGGACTGTTGGATGGTTGTTTCCCTTCTAGAGTCTTTAAAAACGTCTTTTGTTTTGTTCACTGGCTGATCTTTACAGGAGTTTAGGGTTTATAAATTTCACTTTCCCTCTAAAATTGTGTGTATGTGTGTTGCTTTATGTATACGTATGTGTGATATTATCTTCCTATATACAGAAAGTTTCATATTATTTTAGATCAAAAGCTCGAGAATGTTGGAATCATTTTCATATTTCTAAAAGTTTTGAAGACTCAATTTACTAAATAAGACCGTATTAAACCCAATTGACGTTTAAAGCCCATATGGCCTGGAATCTTTGCGGCTATGGCTAAGAGAATTTCCAATGGGAAATGGAGTAATGAGAATTCTTTTTGGAATACTCCATTACAGGAAGTCTCCCAGCTATAACTAAAGCAATCTTGTGTCTTGCTAGCCACGTTAGGGATTTACTTTTTCATATATATATGATACCTCCTTTAGACCATCTTCAATTGTCCTTTATTTTGAAAGAGAACATAAAAAAAATAATGAAAACATTTTCCAGTGGTACATCAATCACCAATTTAGTTTAATGTTAGGCTTTTTTTACTTAGAAATTGACTCTTTAATTTTTTATATATTTTACTTTGTATCCAAAAATTAATATTTGTATTTTAGGTTTAATAAAACTATTAATATTTTCATATTACGATTATAAGTTTTAAAAAATAATTTGTATATTCTTTTAGAAACTAAATTTGTGTATAATAAAGATAGAGTTAAAATAAAATTATTGGGTAAAATGTGTATTTTTTTTCAAATAACAAACATTTTAAAAATTAGTAATAAGTATTAATAATATAATTTACTTAAAATCTTATTTATAAAGAAAAAAAGAGAAAAATCATTGGAATAAAATATCAACTCATTTTAAGTTTACCTTAAACCAGTTTTCAAAAAACTCATTTTCAGTTTTTATTATTTTGAAAAGAAAAAATAATGTTAGTCATTGCAGATACCCTTAGTCTTGATACATAGATGCAATTAGGGGTGGGAACTTTACCCGATACCCGAACTCGTACCCGAACTCGACCCGAAATATCTGAACCGAAATCCGAACCGAAGTAGCAAAATATCCGAACGGGTATTGAGTTAGGAGAGTTTGGATATCCGAACCCGAACGGGTAATACCCGAACCCAAACGGGTATCCGAAGATAACCGAACATATATATATATATATACCTATTTATTCCTAGTTTATTTGTCTCATTTTATTAAAAATATCTATATTAATGTTATATATAGTTTAAGATCAGATAATATACATATAACTGTAAAAAAAAATTGATTTGTTACTCATTTAAAATGCATATTAAGATTCTTATTTCATATTTAAACAAAATTTGCATCCAAAATTCGAAAATAGCAACCAAAATAATGATTTTTATTTCAATAATTTATTTTCAAACTTATTAATCGTTCAACTTATTAAACATTTAAAAAAAGTTAAGTTGATAGTTAAAACATGAAACTTAAGTAATGAAGAATTTGAAATTTTTTTTCAAAATCTAAATATCCGAACCCGACCTGAAATAACCGAACCCGAACTAAAAATATCCGAACCCGACCAGATATGTAAAAATACCCGAACGGATCCTAAACCCCAATACCGAAATACCCGAAAACCTGAAATACCCGATTCGAACTCGAACGGGTACCCGAACGCCCACCCCTAGATGTAACCCTTAAAGCAGTTTTAAGATTGTTAGTTTAGGGTGGATTATGGAAGCTTTAACCGAACACTTGGATTATTGATTTATTTGTTAATATGAAGATTTCGACTACACTGCATAATTCAAATATCAGTTTATCAATCCACTCATTGTTCATGTGAGCTTCAAGATATTTAACTAACATCAAAAGAATTATATATTTGAATTTAATATCTCAATTTGTTCTTATGAATGGCTATTCATAATTTCTTAGTTTTTTGGTCAAATCTGATATTGTTTTCTCTGTTCTGAATAATTAATATATATAGTTGAAAATACAAAAAAGGTATAAATTCCATAGAAAGATATTTTATAGATAACTGCTTACTGCAACAGTTCACAATGAAGCAACATTCTCATATTTTAGAATAAAACCAATATATATTCGATTTTCTTGGATCGGATTTCTAAAAGACTAGATAGCTCTGGAGTGTAGTTGTAATTTTCAAGTCTAACATATCCTTGTCTCAAATAATAAATTCGAGTGTCGTTTTAGACGTGATTATTCAACACGTGATGTATTACATATCCTAATATGTGGTGCACAATCGTATCACGACGATGCAAGGACAAATGCTAATAATTTCAAAGTTCGCTAACCAGACATCTCTTGTTTCCATGCGGGTACACTTTCCGCGTTCTCGTCTTATCGTGTGTCCTAGATGAACATAATTCTATTACGTACAGTACTACAATTTAATATGCACATGTCAAAATGGTAATAAATACTCGTATTAGGTCAAATAATCAGTACTTTATGGATGATATGTCGAGCTTAGGGTTGGACTGGTTATATAAAAGGTCTGATATGATACGTTTACGGATGATCCTTTCTAGACAGAAAAACGTATGTGTGGTGGGTGGTCCATTTCTTAGTAATCGATGTTAATTATATTCTGAAAAGATGTAATTACAACTTAAATTTGAATCTGGATCAAACGCGGATCTTTAGTTATCATAAGTTTAATAAATTAATTTGAATTATTTTACCAAATATTTTTTGAAATGGTTATTATGTATTTAAATTATAAATTTATGTTTAATCCAAACATTAGTTTGTTAAGCTAAAAATTGGGCATGTTTGGAAATTTAATACACGCTTCGTATTTAGTTAGACATACATTAGATTATATCGGTCATTCATATTGTCAACTTTGTAAATACATTAGTTCTAAAAAGCACAAAAATCTGGAGTATATGTTCCTAGAAAATCTCGTGGACAATCCAAGCAGTTAAAGGTATTTAATGGGTTTTCCATTTCATATAAAATGTATTGTATTGTTCAATTAGTTAGATTAATTATGATATATGATAGAAGTTATATTAAGTAGGATCATTTACAACTCAAGTGACAATATTTAAACAATAGAACTCTAATTTAATAGATTAGATTTTTTGTATTTCTCTTCGATGGTGATTTTGATTTATTTAACAATATTTAGTTTTTGTTCGTAATACAAATGTTTTAGGAAACACTTAGGGGGTGTTATTCAATTAGTGATTTAAAATCAATTCTAAGTATTTTATAATCTATCAAATTTTAAAATTTTAAGATTGTTAAAGTTGATGGATTCTAAAATCTCTGCAATACCCATTGGATTTTGAATTTAATCATTTATTCATTAGAATCCATCATCAATGATTTGAAATCCATTTATATTACAAAGAATTTTAAAATCCTTAAAACTTGAATAACACCAAATTTTAAAATCTGAAATTCAATCATAGATTGAATAACACTAAATTTTAAAATAGAATTTAGAATCATCAATTGAATAACAATGGATTGTGTTTAGATTTAAATTCTTTTGAAATACATGATTGAATAACACCATCTTAGAATTTAGAAAGTTTAACTTTCACTTTTTTAATAAGTATTTTTTTTAATAATTGAATATCCTGATCCATTTCACTGTGAACGGTCTTCGGTCTCGAACGCTGGAAGATCTACATATAAATTCTTAAGTGATCGAATTTTAAATTTAGGTGACGGAACTCACAGTCATGAGACCATCTCTAGTGGAGTATCCAAAGGATTTTATGTGTTGGTTTTAAATAATTATATGTTAAAAGTTAAATCAAAAAGAAATATTGCATCAAGAGGACCGTTTACTCCGAAATTTAGACGATAAGAAAATTAGATAAATATAATTCTAAAAATATAACTTTTTCAATTACTTCTAAATAATATGTGTCACGTTTTGATAGGATATTATTTTAAAGAAAACCAATTAAACCAAATTGTTTTTAATACTCAGAACTTTTAATTGGTCTATTATTGGAAGAGTTAAAACTAAACAAGTACTTCAAATTTTTAATTTGATTATTTTCAATTAAAAGATTGATTTAGAACTCTAACACCATAACCATATCTATTGTTGGAGATGATTAAACCTTTTACCATCAAACCTGGTATTTTAAGTATTTCGATCACATAAATTTCCAAGCATGTATTTGTTTGCGTCACTTGTTTGGCATCCATTAAGAATTTAAAACTGAGTGCATGGTTATTTATAGGAAGTAGCAACAACCCTAAATTTCAAATACCTAAGTTAGAGTCAATATCATTGTTACTTATGCAAGCAAATATATATAATTTAAAAATTGTAAGAAGGCACATATATACGTATTCATTCAAGATCGAACAAACCAGATATACGTATCTATATATTAATCACGTAAAGTAAAACAAGAAACTAGAGACAAAAAATAAAATGCAAACTAAAAATATACTTGCATAAGTAGCATTTACTCGATCTTAGCCAAGACATCTAATAAGGATACAACGAACACGTATATAGGGAATAGGACACAGTCGACAATTACATGCATTCACAGACACGCCATGAACTGATACTCTGCGTCCACCAGCCACGTGGCATCATCTCCGGCAACGAAAGGCTCCGGCGACCACACACATCCGCTCATCATAAGCTCAGGCAGCTCTATGCCTTCCCAGAAATCATCCCCGTCTCCGATATTTGCCACGTCATCTCTCGTTTTAATGATCTTGACGGCGTTGGCTGCTTTGGCCGCCGCTACTTGGATATCTCTGGCCGTACAGGTGGACGGGCGAGGTAAATCGTCGATTTCGTGGGGGAAGTTAAGCTGAGCTTTTCTTCCTTTCAGACAAAGCGCCGCCACGTCGTAAGCTTTAGCTGCCATTTCTGGCAACGGGAAAGATCCGAGCCAAATCCGAGATTTCTTTCGGGGCTCTCTGATCTCGGAAACCCATTTTCCCCATCGACGTTTGCGAACTCCGTGGTACACTGGATGCCTCGTCGTCGAGCCGCAAGATTTAACGGGAGAAGCCACGGCTGTTGGTTCTTTGTTGGTAAGTGGTGGTGGTGGTGCTAATTTCATTCTTTCTTGTAACATTTAAAAGAGCTTGTGATTGATGTGGTTAGTCACACACTACTGTTGTCAGCATTTATAGTCTCACACTCTCATCCAATAACGAAAAGGGTTCCCATGCGAATTTACATACGTGACCTCTAACATAGTGAAATTTACATCACCGAAGTTCTTACCTTAAATATATAATATCTTGATGGATGTAAATATATTTAAACTGCATTTTATTTAATTAAAATAAAATTTAACAAATTTAAAATATATTTTATTTATTAAAATATGATTTTAAAAATTTTTAAAATTAAAATAAGAATTAAATGAAAATAGCCGCAGCGTCTGTCAAACGAACACATAAATTATATTCCTGCGGCTGCGTCTGGCGTCTGCGTTAATCACTTGCGGCTACAAAACGAACAACAACCAACGGCTGCGGCTGAGTCTGCGTCTGCGGCTGCGTTTACGAAACGAACAACAATCAAATGAACAGACGCAGCCGCAGCCGCAGACTCAGCCGCAGACGCAGCCGCAGACGCAGCCGCAGAAACCTGCGGCAACCAAACGAACAGGGCTATAGTCTCATCCAATAACGAGAAGCGTTACGTTCCCGTGCGAATTTACATACGTGACCTCTAACATAATGAAATTTACATCACCGAAGTTCTTACCTTAAAAAAAAGATTAATAAAATTTCACAGAACTATCTACCGCCGATTACTTTAGTTGGATAATAAATTAGTGAAGTTTTAAGTTATATTTTTAAGATAATCCAGTTCATGAAAAAAGTGTTGTATAACATTTGTTAAAGATGTGAAATCCGCGAGCATGGTATATTGTGTTCGCATATACAATTATACACACACACACATATATGGATTGTGGCCTGCATATGTAGGTAGTGTTACTGTAATTAATGGAATCAAATCAAACCAGTAATACACAGTTTTAGTAGCTAAAGTAAATAAGAACAAAGTTTATGAACATGATTTATTGATGTCCCTAGTAATAAAGTGTATATGTCAAACTAAACCAAAAAAGTGTATATGTCAGATCTCTGTCTCCTACCATACGGGAGTGGTGGGGAAAGGTTTTCAATAGCTCAAGGAACTGGTGGTGTCCTATCATATATGTATGTAGTTAAGTAAGATTAGAATAAATAAATAATACATATCACTCTGGGTCGACTCTATACCATGCCTGATAAAACATTTGCAATAGACTTCCAAATAGATCAGAGTCGGCTTTGGGAACAAGCGAAAGAAGCACATGCTTGCGGTCACCATTATTTTAAGTACTTAACCTGCTGTAATTTTCTAAAAGTTGTCACTAGTCTAGTGGTTAGTTACACTCTATACAAACGTTAGGTCATGGGTTCATGCCTCCTTCAGGTACAATTTTTTTTTTCAGCCATTTTTTTATTTGAGCTTGTGGTCTTAACGGGTCTAGGATCGGCTCTGAAATAGATATTAACCCCGAAAAAGTTTTTTAGATCTCCAAATTTTTAAAAAAAAAAAGAAATTGTACATAAATTACTATAAACTCCAAAAAGCTCAAGGCCAAGTCCTGAGAGCATTATTCCTTAAGATTTCGTAATTAACAAGCATATAATATAAGTTTAAACAACGTAAAAGATAACTAGCTAGCAACTACATTCACGTCACATTGATAAAAGATAACTAGCTAGCAACATCTAACATATTAGAAAAAGAAAAAAAGTCTTATTGTTTTCTTTGAAAAAGAAAAAACAGCTTCTGATTTTCCGTTCAGATAAATTATGGAGTTGGTAGAGTCTAGAACTTGTCAGCCAAAAACAACGAAAAACAAAACCCAAAACTTGCTACCACTACTACTAGCATACTAATCACCAATTGACATATACACATAACATTAGCATATTAAAATTTAGTAGTGAACATGTATATACTATAATAATTTACTCAGAATAAATTCAGGAAATCTTATTGTTTCTTATTTTAACCGAGATCGCTTTTTTTTTTTTTATTAGGTGTAATTGTCTAGTGCATGCATGCCATTTTCGTGAAAATATATCTACAAAGAACACCCTTTTCCTTTCATAATTGTTAACTTATTAAATTTATGTTCATTCATGTATTTGGACAGTGCATGTCCACAGATGTCGCTTTTTATAATAGCATTGATGATTTTTAGAAGGGGCCATAGTCTAAAACTCTATACCACTCATGAGAAACTAACATAAAAGCTTTCTTTTTAGGATTTTACTTGCTATTAAATTTAGAGTTACATTTACATACAAACAAATACACCATGATATTCACGGCTATTAATTCATGTCATGAACATTTTTATAAGCTTTGTTAAAAAAAGACATTTTTTAAGCTTATAAATAAAATATATACGGATTTCAAGAATAATAGGACTGTCACAAGACAAATCACGTCTTCGTGCGGTGATTTATATATTGACATCAAAAGGGCATTTGATAAATATCACCTGACGTATATGGCTTCCACTTTTTAACCAATCACGTCTATATAAAACAAATAATTCCACACATATAAACAAGGAAATATTAAAAGTTACTCCGAGTAATATTTAGGAAGAAAAGAATTATTTAAAGATATATACTCTCACTTGGAAAATACCGAGCAAGAGGAATTACAGAACACTCTTTTCTTATTGCATTAGATAAAAAAAAAAGAGAAGATAATCTACGGCTTTGGCTTCACTACTAGTTAGAGATATACTATTAATCAGTTTGTCTTCCGGTGCTTTCTTGAAACAATTTCAACACTTGTTCGTTTTTTCAAACAGGAAAAGTGACTGAAATATTAGCAGTTACTTTTTTTTCCTATGAGCTATATATCAACTTATTTTTTCGTTCTCGTTCATACAATGAGCAATTAAGTTTTGGTCGGTGCCTTTACTTTTTCGTGAGTTTTTGTTAGATACAAAGTTGTTTTTTTTTATGACAAAAGGTGACGATGATGGATTTTGTAGAAATCAACACGGAATCCGTATTAATCCGAGAAAAAAAAAGACGGAGTTCAGTTGTGACAAAAATGAATATATACAGATTTAATATATGTGATAATATAAACGGGTGGCATTCATAGGAAAAAAACAATTTCAATTTAAAAAAAGGAAAAAAGAAATATCCTTACCAATGAATAACATGGCTTATAGCTTACACAAATATAATTATGCTTACGATATTTTTAACCCAACTCTATCTTTTGTTTTAAAATAGAATAAAAAGAAATATAGAGTAAAAAACACTATAATCTTACTCAATTTCCTACTTTAAAATAAAGTTCTGAGTAATCTATTTTTTATTTGTTCATTATTCCATTATAGAGTGGAAAATGTAATAAAATTAATTTTTTTTTTCATTTTTGATTTTGAAAGAAAATATAAAATTTTATATTGAAGATGTTTTTACCCGACATCACAGTCCATTCTATTTTAATTGGAGTATATGCACGATTAGAAAGAAATGCTAATAGGTCAGTTGCCAAATCTGAAAGGCAGTAGTTATGTTTGAAGTTATTGACTTGGTTGTATTAAAACTTAAAAGTGTTGACTTGCTCAAGAATCAGTAGTTCTGTGATGAAGAACCAGCTCAAGAATCAGTAATTTTGTTTTTGTTACAACCGCTTGACCATGGAGGTAGAGTTAGTTAAAAGAAAAAAGGTTCCACCGAGAGTAAAAGTTTGAGCATGTAAAACGAGGCCTAAAACACTCGCCGCAGTCCACTACACTTGGCATATACGTACGCGGGGATGTGGCGTTAGCGCCTATGGGCCCGCATTGAACCAAACTAGAATTCCGGTTATTTCGGGTTTAATAGAGAGACAGACATACGCTTCTCTTTTCTTTCCGGTTTAGTAGAACCCTACTTTTATGTCTCTCTCTCATTATGTTCTGTCTCTTGTCGTGAAATAAAATGTTTTCGACGCTCCGTCGCGCCATGCTTTTCCGTCGATTCCCGGCTGTGATTTCTCCGGCGAAAAGGACTTTCAGCAGCGACAAAGTTTCCGATGAAATCGATCTCCGAATATTGAATGAGCTGAATCAGGTTTTCTTACTCTCTGTAATTAGCTTACGTTAATCGTGTTGAGAAACTAAGTAGATTCACTCTACTGCTTCAAAGTTCGTTGCTTTCTCGCATAGATTCCTATATATTCGTTGATTTTTAGATGATTATTTGATGTCTCAGGAAATGCAATCAATCTTTGGAGCAGAACCTCCTGCCACAATGGATTACCCTGAGTTGGAATCCAGTATTGGATCTACAAAACCGGAGAGTTGTAGGCAATATGAACAACCTGCGAAACTGGCTACTGAAGATATGTCTAAGCTAACCCATGTTGGGGTCTCCGGGGAAGCTCAGATGGTGGATGTTTCTTCCAAGGACAATACTAAAAGAACCGCACTGGCTTCCTGTAAAGTGAATCTAGGCAAACGAGTTTTCGATTTGGTCTTAGCCAATCAGATGGGGAAAGGAGATGTTCTGGGAGTTGCCAAAATCGCTGGCATCAACGGAGCTAAACAGACCAGCAGTTTAATCCCATTGTGTCATAACATTGCTCTTACTCATGTTCGTGTTGACTTAAGATTAAACCCTGAGGATTTTAGTGTTGACGTTGAAGGAGAAGCTTCTTGTACTGGGAAAACCGGTGTTGAGATGGAAGCTATGACTGCTGTTTCAGTTGCTGGGTTAACTGTTTACGACATGTGCAAGGCTGCTTCCAAAGATATCACCATTACGGATGTGAGGCTCCAGCGTAAAACTGGTGGGAAGAGTGGGTATTGGTCTAGAGGAGAGTGAATGTGCAACCCAACACTTGTCTCTGTGTAGCTATATGGAGGTTAGCTTTCTTTTTTTTTCTCTTGAAAACATTGAAACTCTCATGAAACTTGTTATAGTCAGAGCATTACAAGACAGTTAGGAATATTAGATATTATAAGGTGTATATCTAATCATCAGGCAGTGTTTATCATCATAATTAGGGATCATTAAACAAGTAGACCGTCAGGGAATGTTTATTTGATTATCATGTGATATCTTTCCGTATGCAAATTTGTTCATGCTACCACCATGTAATGATGATTTAGCATATATTACTATGAAGTGTTTCTGGTCTCTTTTACATTTGACCCTTCAATCTCTATCTTCTTTTCTCCATTTTCATGATCTCTAGTTGTGATTTTTTTTCTTCTCATTCTTCTATCACAGTTTACGCATAGACAAAGCCAGGCATGTCTGGACCAGAAAAACCGGTCTTCAAAAATATTTGGTCGATGAACCAACCGGTCAAGTACGTCTTGACTATATTTTTACCATTTGGACCTAACACAACTACCATTTTTGTTCCGATATTCAATATTCACCGTGCGTTGACTTTGATTGACTTGCAAAAGATATACTATTTACATTTAACTTTCATAAATAGAAACAGTTACCTATTAATTCGCTCCCTCTCACAAATTCAAGGGTAGAGTTAATTATTACTTTCACCTACATTTAAGTAATCAACTATCCGGTTTAAAAAATTTCCATTTTTCTTTATTGAAAAATGGAGCTTCGTAAACGGGGATTAGGAGCTCCGTTTACCATATTCGTCGCCATTGTGTTATTACTCGTTCAGTTTTGGGCCGTGACGGGTCAGAATAACCACAGCGAGTCTTCTACACAAACCTCCTCCGTTAACTCTCCGACAGCGACAAGTAGTCGCTTTCTGTCCTCATCATCACTATCCTTAACCGGGAAACGCTCCTTGTTCAGGCTCAGGTGGAGGAGAAGACGACATCATCATAACAAAGTGAACAGAGCGAGCATTCAGTTTCTATACGCACACAACCTCATACGCGCCCGCGTGGGAGAACCACCGTTGCAATGGGACGGAAGACTAGCGGCGTACGCGCGTTGGTGGGCGAGACAGCGCGTTGGGGACTGTAGGCTTGTTCACTCCAACGGTCCGTACGGAGAAAACATATTTTGGGCGGGACAGAGTAAGTGGAGGACCATAGATGTCGTTAAAGTGTGGGCCGACGAGAATAAGTTTTACCACGTGAAGGCTAACACGTGTGAGCCGGGGCAGATGTGTGGACATTACACGCAGATCGTGTGGAGAGATAGCACCAAGGTTGGATGTGCACGTGTGGATTGTTCAGACGGTGGACTTTACGCGATTTGTGTTTATAACCCACCGGGGAATTACGAAGGTGAGAACCCGTTTGGGATTTATGAAGACCAGATTGGTCTTGTCCGGGATGATCCACCGGCTGTGGTCGTTAATCCGTTTTAACTTGATGGCTTGAAAGCGGATCGGACATGGGATGGTGGTGGCATGCAGAGTCTATTTCTTAGTTGTTAATTTTTCTTTTGCTCAAATTCTTTTTATTTTTGTTGGAATAAACTAACTTTGGGTTTATTCAGAAGAAAGATCTATCACCTAAAAACTGATTCAATAAACAAAATAATTTTTATATATATTTCATAATGAGCCATTGGTAAACAAGTGAAAAATGGGAAGAGAACATTTTTGACTGATTGTCATCTTCGCGCCCACCTCAACTTTCCGAATATACACTATGCATAATATTTTGAGATGTAAGCGTAGCACATCGCCTGACATGCATAACAAAAAGAGAGAGAATTCCTGGGGATAAAATGGCAAGGCTCATTAAGAACATTGGGCCGACCATTAAGATCAGTGACCCATCATATTCAATTAAACCGCCTCAATCACAGGTTCCTTAATTTCTCTCTTTCTCACTCGGCGGCGTGGTGGTGGCTATTCTTCTTCCCGACGTAGTTCACCGGCGAAGATTTGACAGGTTACGTAAGGTGTTGGTACATGTGTACACCCCTTCCTTCCATTTTTATATGTTCTCTACTGTTGTTCGTGACTCGATGCTTCTCTTCCCAATTTCAATAAAAGATTTTTTCGAACTTTCTGTTATTTTGGCTATCAGGTTTCTTCATGCTTTCCGTTTATGCTGTGAATGAAATTGGTGTCCATTTAAACAAACTTAGTGAGGTTTAATCCCTGCACTGCTTATTTGGGGTAATGTGATTATGGAATTTACAGACGAAGAATTCGGGTGCTCAGGGTTTCTGTTTCAGTGATGTTAATAACAATGGAATAATCTATACAAACATTCGATACATTTTTTTTCGGGATCAGTAACAACAAATAGCTCTAATCTGGTCATCTTATGCAGGCAACAATGAGGAAAAAATCTCTCAAGTGGGTGTGATTTTGTGTCTTTACATAATCTTTTCTAACAATGTCGGATCCTAGAGAGCTCAAAACATCTCAGCGAGAAGATTCTCAACCTGCTGCTACGAAAGATGAATCTCTGTCTCAAAAAGGTATATATATATATATATATATATATCCTTTCTTCTCTCTCACTTGTGCTAGAAACTTTGTGTTGCGTCTTTGAGATTTCAGACTGATAGCTACTTTGTGTTGACTTGGCCCGCATGATAATAGCAAAAGTCTCTGTTTCACAAAAGAGTATTTTCTGTTAAAGGTTTCGATGTGTGTATACAAGAGAGACTAGAGTTTGAGGGGATGATTCATCCTTCGTAGTTTTACGATCATTACATAGACCCCAGAGCCGTGCCTATGTGTTAGCAAAGAGTCATTGGCCACAGTCCCCACACCACATATGAAATTCTAAGAGCTCCATATTTTTCAGTTTCGGTGTTACATAATAGTGAGTGTTTATGTAAAGTTAAGGTTACATTTCTTTTTGGCTTTTGACTAAATTTATGAAAATCTAAAATTTTAAACTTAAAACAAAGTCTGGAATCTCAACTAAAAGGAAAATCCAGTTTTGTGGATGTATATATATATATCGTAAAGAATCTCATCTAAAATTAACTTTTTTCCAAAATATTTTAGATAATTTTCTTTGTTCTTTTCTTCTTTTTCGATTTGCTCTATGGTAATACTAATATTTCCTTTTTTTTAAATTCTAGTAAGTTTTCCTCTTGCTTATTTTTTCTTGTTTACAAGCTATTTCATATTTATTTCTGAAGTAGTATATATTGAAAGGCTCTCTCTCTACTCTATATACCTGAGCACGGCATTGCATACCTTTCAGCTTGCTTCACGGTTATTCTTCTTCCCAGTTCCCCCTTGTCATAGCTAAAAATAATTTTTCTTTATTTATCTTTCTTATGTTTTCAGTTTGCAGTTTCTTCAAGAAGCCATCAAAGGCTAAAAACTTAAGGAAAAGGCCGCTTCATGCAGATGAAGAAGTAGATGGAGATTCAGAAAGCGGAAGCTCTATCTTTAATAACTTAAAGAAAGTTGCTAAACCTGATAGCAACTTGTTTTTCTCCTCTGGACCATCCAAGACCTCTGCTGCAACGAGCGAAGCTTATGAGAGAGCTGTCTTTCACTACGATTCATCCAAGGAGATCCAGGTTCAAAACGACAGTAGAGCCACTGCAACTCTTGAGACCGAGACCGACTTCAATCAAGACGCACGAGCAATCCGCGAGAGAGTTCTTAAACGAGCAGACGAAGCATTGAAAGGGAATAAAAACAAGGCTTCAGATGAGAAGCTTTACACCGGAAACCATGGATATACAGATCACAAAGCTGGGTTTAGAAGAGAACAAACAATATCCAGTGAGAAAGCTGGAGGCTCACATGGGCCATTAAGAGCTTCTGCTCATATCAGAGTATCTGCTAGGTTTGATTACCAGCCTGGTATTTGCAAAGATTACAAAGAAACCGGATACTGTGGTTATGGAGATTCTTGCAAGTTTGTGCATGACCATGGGGATTACAAACCGGGATGGCAGATAGAGAAAGAGTGGGAAGAAGCAGAGAAAGTTAGGAAGAGAAATAAAGCTATGGGAGTTGAAGATGATGATGAAAAAAAACAGTGAGGAAGATGAAGATGCATTGCCCTTTGCTTGCTTTATATGCAGAGAGCCTTTTGTTGATCCAGTTGTCACCAAATGCGAGCATTACTTCTGTGAGCATTGCGCTTTAAAGGTATGATGATGAACTTACTAAAGTGGTAATTATGATGATATGATTATTGTGTGTGGAAACTAAAAGAGGTTTTGGTTTTGATGTAATGATTGCAGCAGCACACGAAGAACAAGAAGTGCTTTTGTGTGTAAAGAACCAACGATGGGGATTTTCAATGCAGCACATGAGGAGGATGGGTGAAGAAGGGAGTAAAGCTCAAGGATTGTAAAACTGATGTATTCTGGAAAGCTTTTGGTTTGTTAATATTTATTCAGTGGCTTGTATGTTGTGATGGCTCTTTGCATATCGGGCCTTGTTTTGCCCCATTTCAAAGTGTTGGTGAGGAGTTAAACAAACTATAACGGTTTTTGGTGAATTGTTAAAGGTCAAGTAGATAAACATAGTCGTCAATCTGAGGAGGGTAGTGAAAGCAGTGTACCAATTCAAACTGTGTATGTGTGATGTGAGACTTCCCAAGGTTGTTACATAATGTCTGTTGGTGAAGTTTTTTGGGATGTAAAAAAGAATGTCGTGTGGGTGATGGTTTATGACCGTTGGTGTATTTTGTAGATATTTTGGTAAAAAGAGGTAAAAAAAAAACTATTAAAACAGACCCTCTGAGTGAGATAGCGTATTAGTGCAACTCCATCCCCACTTCATAATTTACTGTAAAATGGAGTGAGAAATAGAGTGAAGAAGAAACAAAAAAGTGATTACTCTGTAAATGGACTAATGGATTTTTTTGTTTCTTCATCACTCCATTTCCCACTCCATTTAGTAGTAAATTATGGAGTGGGATTGGAGTTGCTCTTAGGGAAAATTGTAAAAAAAAGACCATCTGAATCAAAAGGCGGGGAAAAAGGTATGGGTGTGAAATTAAGCAGAAAGATTTGAAAATCAAAAAAATTAAGGTCGAGCGGGAAAACAAAGAATCTACCGCTTTTCTCAAATCCAGTACGGCGGTAATCTCTCTCTCTCTCTCTCTCTCTCCCAGTCTCTCATTTTGTTAACCGAAAGAGGGATTTATCGATTCCTGTTGGGGAGGAAGGAAAGTGTAAATCAAATGGCGAGAACGAAGCATTTTGCATCCAGGGCACGAGATCGCAATCGAAATAGTTAGTCCTATTCTCTCTGCCTTTTTTAAAAAAAAAATGTTGTTGTTATTTTTTAAAACCCTAATTATTTTGGTACCTTGTTAAAAAAATTGAAGATGCGACAGCTTCATCTTCCGCGGCGGCGGCTGGTCCGAGTGCGGTACGCCATCATCTTATCCCGTTTTTTTTTTTAGGTTTCGACATTTTATTTGGATGCAATCTCGTTTACAGTTTTTTTTCTTAATTGAGAAATTGGTCCCATCTATTGAAATATTATTTTGGTAGACACCGACGAGAAGAGGCAGCAGGCAAGGTGGTGGTGGTGTTGAGGCTCAACAGGGTCAGTGTTTCTAGTCTATCATCTCTATTTCTCTCTCTCTCAGAGGATTAAATGTCTGTTTCATTTTCTTGCTTGTAGGTTCCAACAAGAAGAAGAAGTCTTTCCGTTACAAGCCTGGAACCGTTGCTCTCAGAGAGATTCGCCATTTCCAAAAGACCACCAAACTCCTTATCCCTGCTGCTACTTTCATCCGACTAGTAAGCTCTCTCCTTCTTCGTGTCTTCTCTTTCGGATTTCTTTATGAACTTTTGTTATTCATACATACATTCTGCTACTTGTATTCAACATACTGATATTGTTTGGTTTAGAGCAACCCTTTATTATTTCAACTACCCTTGCACTTTATCCCAAAATATCTTCTTCTTCTTATTCATCTTATCATATGCTGATATGGAAATGCCCTTTTTATGTGCTCCCAACCAAATTACTACTAATATGCAACATTCTTCTATCTACCTTCCCACCCAGGTCAGAAGCATCACCCTTGATCGTGCCAAGCCCCAAGTTACGCGTTGGACTGCTGAAGCTCTTGTTGCTCTTCAAGAGGTGGTTCTACCCCTTCTCTCTCTTTTTCTTCCCTTTATTATATGACTAATCATTAAACTCCGATCCTTTAATTCCTTTTTTGTGGGGGGCAGGCGGCAGAAGATTACTTAGTTGGCTTGTTCTCTGATTCAATGCTCTGCGCTATCCATGCTAAACGTGTTACTCTTAGTAAGTACTCTCCATAATTTAAGCACTGTCTCTCCCTTATATTGAATATAAGCTCATCCGTATCTTCTTCTCTCTTCATCTCAGTGAGGAAAGATTTTGAGCTTGCACGCCGCCTTGGAGGTAAAGGCAGACCATGGTGATAGAGATACTCATCCACTATTCAACATTAGCTACTCTGTTTCCCATAGTATGACTTTATGCACTCCTTATGTCTTGTTATTTGTCATTTGACCGCAACTTTCTTTTGAAACATAACTGCCAAACCCGAGTTTGATTTGATTCAATTTCTAGGTTGTAAAACTTATCTCTCCTTGTTTAGTATTTTATCTGCTTTTCCTTGGAGCTGATAAGTTTCCTTTGAGATTTCACTTTAACATAAACACAACTGCTTTCCCAATATCTCAGTCTTTAAAAGGGCTATGATTAATAGAGAAGAAAATTATGAGGAAGATTTGTAAAGACTGTGTTTAGAGAGGGCTAAATGAAAAAAAAATAAACACTCACCTGCTAGCCTTGCTAATGGATTCCCAATTTCAACTTTTTTCAAGGCATATTATAAAGTTTGTAAATATACTTCGCACTTCAAGTATTATAATTCGTATAAAGGATTTTGTTCGAATATATAGCATCTGTGATTTCATAGTGTTGTCATGAAACACAAGTCATTCATCACCGTCCGATGTTGCTACTGTCTAATAAAATATTGTAACTAAAAAGTTAGAATTTCGAATTTGGTTACATTTATTTCAGTCAACTCTTTTATGTTTAAATTTTTTTTGCTAACCTTTTTCATGTTTCTCTTCCCTTTATTTTTGCTGGTCTCGGTCAAGCACTTCTTTATGCATTCGTAAAATTTCTGTGTGCAAAAAATCGGATGCGTCATGAATCATGCCATAGTCCCAACAGATTAACTAACCAAAAAAAAAGTCTACGTGTCATGTTCAGTTGCAACTGCATAGTTTGCTCAACCTTTTTCGGAAGTCCTGTAAATAAACAATAATAATAAATCGAACAAAATAAAAAAGAAGCATGGAATAACATTGCGATGTGAATATCCACAACCCTGTAATTAATTTTCTATTCAACTCTAACCAACTTTCAACTCTCCAATTGCTAGTTCTAAAATCACTTTCCATTAAATAGGGAATTTAATTCAATAGACTGGAATTCATAAATTCCAATATCATGTGATTCTCCTATTGCTTACCAGCAGATAATGGGGTTGGAATTGGATGGTTATTTGCTGAAATTTTTTCCTTCTCAATCACCAAGCATTTTTATCGTGTTGTCATGTAATCAGCCACTAATAATATAAGTATATCATGATGTTAGACATCACCGTGCGTAAATTTAAAATTCCAAAAAAATCAAAACTGTTTTTTAACTGATTAATATAATATTTACTGCAAAATCATGGATCCAACTAAAATATCTTTTTATCCATGGCTAAGTCCTAGCTACCTCAAAACCTTTTCATTTTAAGAAATAGAAAGTGTATTCATGTGTGTAAGTTTAACAAAAACATCAAAGTAAAATACAGTAGTAGTTTGCTAGCATTAAGTTGATTATCATTTATTATTTTCATGCATATTTATACTTGTAGCTATTGAGTATGAAACATCAACTCAGGGCAAGTAGCTATTAAGTATTAACTCTTATTAATTCTAAAAGCAATTACACAAAAACACGACGGTGCAACTAATGTAATGAAACATGTTTAATACGATTGGTTCACAACGTAACAGATCAAGCATCACATTTATACTGGGCATAATGTTGCCACCCATAAGTTGCGAATTAATTAATGATAATAACATTTAATATTCTTTGGTTTGTTATACACTTAGCGAGCGAAGGAAATTAATATACAATACAAAATGACTTAATGTGGAAACTGACCAAACCAGTCGGTAGAATTTGACACTATAAATAGAGAAGAAGGTATGTGTTCTTCCCTTCAAAATTCACCACTCTCTGCTCTACCTTAAATCGTACCACCTGAATTGATATAGAAAATCCGTAAGGTAAGATCGTACACGGTGGTCGTTTCAAATGGATAAGCAGCGTAAGTCGAAGCATCCCAAGACCAATGCTTATGCCACCACTGTTACCTCTTCTTCTGAAGGTATATATATATGTATATTTCTCAGCCATCTCTAAAACATGTACGTTGCCCTATAAATATTACGTTAGAGAGTTTTGGTTGATTACGTGAAGCAGAAGTGAGCAGTATTGAATGGGAAGAAATAGCAATGACAAAAGAAGAAGAAGATTTGATCAGCAGAATGTATAAGCTTGTCGGCGAAAGGTCTTTCTTCTTTATTTGTTGGGTCATCTTTAAATATGCAGATGTTAACAAGGGAATTAACTACTGTTAGTTTTTGTTGTTGTTGGTTGTGAAGGTGGGATTTAATAGCTGGGAGGATTCCAGGAAGAACAGCACAAGTGATTGAGAGGTATTGGGTCATGAAGAATCATCGAAGTGCTTGATTACGTTGTTTGAGATTTTTATATCATTTTTTATAATAATGAAATACAAATACGTGTATCCTCTAATCGTTGGTAATTCTGCAGTTTTGTTCTTGTATTTGGAGTTGTATCTCGGGATTTAATATTTATGTTTATAAGTTGTCTTAATTAATTAAAATCACGTACGAAATATTTTACTAACATACATTAAACTTCCGGTAATTTTAAAGGTAAAAAGTCATTAAAACAATTTTGTTTTGTCACAAAATTAGTTATGCAGAAAAAATAGAAAATATTTCTTTTAAAGAAGAATAAGACATGGAATGAAATTAAGATTGGGGACTGTATGTTAATATATTGATTAGTGTGAATAGAAGATTCTGTTTGATAGATCATAAGTAATATATCCTTTCCATCATCCATCATCTTGATTTGATTAGCGTGAATAGATTCGGTTTGATAGATTACATCCCTGGAGCATCTGTGATTTGCATTCCAGCCAAGTTGTTCTGTTCCATCCATTGCGAGATTTCATTTATGACATATTATGGAGTGGTCAGATACGTTTAAGGAGCTTGATTCTTGAACATTATAACATCAATAAGCTACTGACGTATATGATGAGTCTATTTGTATAAACTTGGAATAAAGGCTTCTTGTTTTAAAGCATTTATATTTACTGGACTGTGTGTATGTGTGTCACAACAAGTCTTATTAGTATTCTTATACAACATGTTGAATTCTGCTAATGAAATTATGCTTGTGTGTGTGCACAAGGAAGACTAGGAATTAAGCTCAGAGTCAGAGACATGACCAGAGGTTGTTCGGCGTATCTTTGGAGTCATCATTATCAGTTGACTCTCAGAGTGCGTTCTCATACTTTGCCCACATGGACTAAGTGGAGGATGCCTTGAGCTTCCTCTACTTGTTCCTGAAACACGATATAATATAAAAAAAGCGATAGTATACCACAAAAATTTCTTATGTAACCAACTTCCAAAAAAGTATATATGTATGGGTTAGAAGTTGGAACCTCTATATAACATATTAAATGCTCACACCTGGTTTTTGAATAGGTTTCAGGCCAGAGGATCTTTTTGAAATAGGCTTCTTCTTCTTCTTGCTCATACCAACATCATTTGAGCATGAAAGCCTCCTTTCCTTGTCAGATGAAACTTGCTCGTCTGATCCACCCTCGTCCTCACTACACGAAGCCCATTCACTACCCGATTCTGATGTCTCTCTGAGATTACTTTTCTTACAAGTCTTTGCCTGTTCCACCACCCTATATGCAAACATCTGAAAAGGAACCTGTGAAACTTGAAGTAACTCGGTTGTTTTTTCCCATGAGAGCTTCTTCAACAGCTTCGTCTCTATCTCACAGTAATCCACAGGAGGAGAGACAGACGTGTCCTGCTGACATTCCGGATTTAAAGCTAAAAACCTTTTGATGTAACGCAGAACTCTGCTTATTGAAGAGAAAGATGGACGCTGGTTGGGATCAGCATGCCAGCACCTTTTGGTTAGGTTTGTTATGAGTTTAGGTGAATGAAATGGGAAAAGCGGTCTCTCCCCTGCCCTAATGTTTCTACTCATTTTATCTCCTTGCAAGTGGCTATCCTCAAACGGCACTTTACCTGTTAAAAGCTCAAAGCAAACCATTCCGAAGCTGTACACATCAGATTTCTCAGTGTACTTAAGACTACTTCCCTCTGTTCCTCCCTGTTCCTGCTCCTCTAGCACTTCAGGGGAATGCCATATGAATGGAAAAGTCTCGTTCGAAGAAGCACTTTTAGATGAGAAGCCTTTAACAGAAGTCAATCCAAACCCACAAATCTTCCCCTGTAGATAATGCACATCTCCGTATTGGTTACTTCTTCTTGGTTTGAGAAGAATGTTAGATGGATTCAACTCTCCGTGGTACACTCTCTGGGAGTGAAGATATTCCATACCACGAGATATCTGAAGCATCAGATCAACCGCTACCGGGAGGGAGAGAGTGTTCTTCCTTCTTGGACCACACACCTCTTTGACGTGCGTCCCAAGACTTTTACTCATCAGTTCCATAACCAGGAAACACTCTTTCTTCTCCTCATCAGAGAATCCGCATAGGTAATACACAATGTTTGGGTGTGAAAGAGATAGCAACGAAGTAATCTGAGGAAGCAAAGCATCAATGTCTCCAAAGAAATGCCTAAGCGCAAAGCTTTCACCTAACCATGTAATCTCCTTGTACTGACTTCCATTGCCTAACCTCTTTCTCACTTGGTAATCTTTCGAGCTTACCAGAATAGAAGATGGAAACAGGACAGGACTCTCGTTACCATTCTTCAGAAGGAACTCAGCCATCTTCCTGTCGTGTTTGCTTGAACCGGGACGCCGTTTCTCTTGAAGCTCTTGCGTTAGAATCCACATGTCCTCTCTCCAAGCACTCTCGTACCGGCTGCACAAGTCCTCGGTCACCAAATACTCTCTCCCGAACTTCCATGTAAACATCTGAGAGTCGTTCCATTGCTTCATGTACTTGTTCGAATGCACCAACCTCTTCTTGTTCATCTCTTCTTCATCCCACCCTGAAACCTCACTCGCCATCTCTATAGCCTCTATGACGGTCGGAACACATGCGAGCAGGTTATGAACGTGAAGCTCGGTGCAATCGTTGTTGTGTTGTAAGAAAACAGCTTTAGCCCAAAACCCTAGTTTAGGCTCTAAAGAGAATCTAACGTAAGCCTCCCCTTCTCGTACCACACATAGCAGCTCCCTCAAGGGCTGTTCTAGAATCTTCCATTTGGCTGTGTTCTTCTCTCCGAAACGTAGGTTTGATCTCATGGATTGGGAGACTGAGTCGTATGTGGCGGTGAAGAGGTCGAGTAATAGAGTGCATTGACGCTGGTTGATTTGAATGTTGTCCTTGAATACCATTAAGGCTCTTATGCTTCCTAATACCTCTCCTATCTCTCGAAGTTGCTCCATTTTGCATTCCTTCAGTTTTGGAATTATAAATTTTTAGTACAAATCCTCTCGAGATTTTAGACACAATGTCTAGTTGGTTGATTAACAAAAGAAAAAAAAAATGTATCTTTGGCAATTATTATTTTGTTTGATTTACTTAAATTGGTTTGTTAACAAACGCGCGTTACAGCTTTATCTTCATCCACACGAAGCACATTGAAGACCAATTTAGAACTTTAACCAAACAAAAAGAAAGAAAAAACGATTTGGTTCTTTAAATGGCAAAAAAAACTTTATACAAGCTACTAACAAATTATATGTGTGTAAAACAAAAGGAGTATATATTTGTAACTAGAAATATAACTGAACAAATTAGTATTCATCTGCCATGTTCTTTAGCATAGGAAAAAGGAAATGTCGTACGACAAAAGAACTAGAATTTTAATGTACGTCAAATTGTCAAAAAGATCAAGCGTAGAAAATGGGGAGAGTAATATGAGTGACTCTTTTTCAAGTAAGTTCAGAAGAAATATGAAGATTAAATATTAAGGGATTTATGATAAGATAATTAAATAATCAAAATTAATATTTAACGATTATTAATATAAAAATTTCATGTACGCAGATAATTACCTAATTAAATTTAAAAAGAAATCCACTGGTCTAATACACCAATTCTAAAGTAAAAGAATTACTATTCTAAGTTCTGTTTTTCTTGGTAACAATCAAAATGCTGACTCGTACAAAACATTTTGCAATTTGTCATTCCTACGAAATAATTGCGGCAAACAACAACAAAATAATTAAATGCACTTCAAAACAGTTATGAGAAAATAAATCTATTATACCATATCCTATGTACAAGAGTTCCCTTCAACTTTCAAACAAACAAATAGAAATTCTAGTACCATCGACGATATATACACAAAACATATCATCGAAATCGTTTTAAACAAAAGAACTTGTCCCCGCATTATCGAGGAACAAGAAACATATCCGATCTAATCCAATGATACTATCTTAGACGACTAAGATATATATGCTCTGGTTCTTATTGTTCTTCCTCATTATAGATCTGTTCATCGCTAACTCACATTTTACCAATTCTATTATATTATACATTTTTTTCTTCAACATATAACGCAAGCGTTAGGGTTCTCTTCCATGCTTGGGGCGTAGTAATACGTTGTTAGATGAGGATTGTATGCTTTATACGCCTTTACAAGCTCTAGCACATGATCCGGTGCTGGTGGCTGTGGTTGTGGCTGATCTTTCTTCTCTCCTTCCTTCTTATCGCCGCCTTCTTTCTTCTCCTCTTCCTTCTTGGGCGCTTCTCCTTCCTTTTTCCCTTCTTCCTTTGGAGCTTCTCCTTCTTTCTTTGGCGGCTCGCCACCACCTTCCTTTTTCGGCTCCTCTTTCTTCTCTTTTTCGGGCTCTTTGGCAGGTCCAACTAGTATGATATCTGTCATCGGCCAATACTTTCTTAGCTTACTTACTACATTTATCGGGTCCACCGTTCCGATCACAGTTAGTTTCTTCTCCTTCATATCCATTGCAATCGAATCGATTCCTATAAAAATAAAAAACAAGATACAAAGTTGTATTTTCTTTTTCTCTAATAGACACTGACGTTTTTCCCCTATTGATATAAGTAAACCACATTTTAGTTTAGAAACCACAACAATATTTGATTAAAGAAAAAAAGAGAGACAATAACAACAAGGAAAGTAAAACACTGTGGATCAAACCTACACAAAAATCTTTGACTTTATCTTTTTAATCTAGTTTGATGGGCACGTATTTCAAAGTAGCTATAGTGGCCCTAGATGTGATTTTATTCCAAATAAATAAAATAATGAATTTCACAAATCAACAAGAATTGCAATATGGTGCAACTTTTTACCGTACCATCACTGTTTAAAAAGAAAGACACCTCTGTCAGAACAACTCGTGATTGTTGAAAATAAAATTTTTAACATTTTCTTTCTTGTTTATCTACGTGTGTACCTAATTCCCCACCAACCAAATCAGAAATAAACCGGAACAAGTGGACCAGAAATCACGGTTAAGTAGTTGGTCCAGTTACATAGATGTGAGAATTATATAGAGAACAGTAATGTGTATACCCTTAAGAATTTTATATTTAGGAAAAAAATGATTACCAGGGAGAGTAGAAATTGTTTTAAGGGCCTTGTGCTTTGCCTTATCATCATGCAGATCCAACTTTAACACAATTTTCTGATAATTTATCACAAAAAAGACAAAACAATTTGTAAGGGAGTCAGTGAAATAAATAGTTAAAGCCTCGAGGGCACAAATATGTAGTAATCTTCTCTTAATTAAATCATGTTGTAACTAAAAAACATTGAATCACCAAGAACAACACAGCCAAAAATGAACAAAATAGAGATTTCAAGTTTTAGAGAATATACTGAAAAAATAGTGAAGTGTGGTGTGGATACACACACATAGTGACATGCATGTGTATGTGTGTGAAAATGATAGAGAAACAGACTTTTGCAAAAGCACAGCAGGCTCATCATACAGTTTATTAAGAATTTTATTTGATTTATTTTTGTCTGTAATTAACAGCAACTTAGCAAACTAGACAAGCAGGGATAAAATAAGATTAGTGGTAATTTGGAGGTAGTTCTTTTATCATCTCCAGAAGAAGCAGATCACATGTAAAAATGATACAACAGATATATACGGTCGGCGAGAGAGGGAAGACGGAATCAAGTAGAGCAAAAAAAGGAATATATATTTATACAGGAAATAGCGAAAAGCAGAGAAAAGCTTTGTTACTTTAAGATTTCAAGATGAGACAAGGAATATCTAAACTCATTATTCTCTCATAGAAATTCGAATCCTATGAATCAAATCTTGCCAATATGTGTAGAGAGAAAGAGAGAGGGATGTACCTTCATTGCAGAGAGGGAGAGAGATGCAAAAGAAGATTTTGTCTATGAGATTTAACAGAGAAAACGGAGAATGAAATAATTATAAACTTTTGAAGACGATAAGAGAGATTGGACACTGATCACTTTTATTATTATAAAAAGCTTAAATACTGACAAATAGTGGAGATTAAGAGAGAAAGAAAAATGCATGCAGAGAGAGTCTCTCAACTATAATGAATGAATGAAAGAATGAATGGTACGAGAGGGACGGATAGATCTCTTTCTTTGTTTTTATCATTTCATGCGCGTGAGAGATAAGGTAAGGAGCATGTTGTGATTACGTCTGCAAGTGCTACCCAGCGTCATCTTACTTTCCATCCTTTGGTCTGTGTTGTTTTCTTTCTTTCTTTTTTTCTGACCCTTTGAAATTTATCTCTCACCTTATATATCCACGTCATTTTTCCATTTTATACCGATTCCTAACTCGAATTTTAAACATATATATATTGCTATTATTCCTTCTTTTTTTTGAGACGAGAATTAGTTTGTCTTTTTTATAAAAAAAATGGTACCGAGAGACAAGTTTCAAGATCTCTTTCTAATAAGGTTGTTGCTTGTCGTTCAGCTTGTTTTAAACTTCATTTTGGGTTTCTTGGTAAAATGCAAGGAAGAAGAAGGAACACAACTTTATTAGCAATGTATATTTCACTCAGTTTGTCAGAATTCCTTTCGAGTTGATGAATAAAACTACAATTCTATGATTGATTATTTTCTTTCTTAGGTATTTGTAGTGATCTAATAATAATTGAGTCGTCACTGTACAGCCATCAGTTTCCCAATCCCACACGAATATGATTCCCTAAATAGACAAACAATATTCCCACAGCCAAAAATATAATAAAAATAAAGAGAATAGGTGTGTAGTGGAAAACAGCTGCAAATTCCACGTATTTTGCCACGTAATAATAATTGATCTTCTCGTTTTCAATATTCGACGTCCACGAAATATATACAGGTAGAGGTTTTTTATGTTCTTCTAAAATTCCCTTGTTCAAAAAATTGTATTGGATTCATGGATTGTGTTCGTGTTGCGCGTGAGCACACGCAGTAACTGCGAACGCGAACGCGAACGTAGGGACGAGACGTGATGAGATTTGTAGCTTGGGCCACATAGAGTGGAATGTGGACCCTGCTTCCCTGATGATGTTTAATACATTTTTGTCATAGATCTATTTATTACTTTAAATAAGGCGGCTTCTATTAAATTCAAGTGCTCTAAATTCAACACCCGTCGGTTCTTTCTTCTTTAGCTTCTTATTTGGACCGTTGATCGTCGGGTACAATAGTTTGACTATTAAGTATTACTAGTAAACACAATTTGACGTACATTAGCCAATTGTTATTATTTTATGGCAAACTTTACCAACTATAACTCTACAAAAACCACTTTGCTGACCAAATTAATTTGGTGTTTTGATGGTTTTACTTGTGTAGTTATCAGCCCCTGGTAATAGTTTTGCTTGTTTTTGACATTAACATCACGGACGGGTGTACGACGTTAAAACTATATCGTTAGGTTTTAGCTTACTCCCTCAAAATCCCTTTTGACAACATTAGATAGAGGAGAATATAGATGTATATTAACTAAAAGTTGCACCAAAAAAAAAAGACTTATTAACTAAATATATTAGAAAGAAACAACGATCTTAATTCGATAACATAGTTGTAGACTATAGAAAGTAAGCATAAACAAATTATATTCTCAGTTAATAAACACTGTCTAAGTGCGTAACACATGATACGAATTAAATGTTGATTAAAAATTGCGAAATGTATTTGCTGAATAACTTGAATTCAACCGAGACTAACAAGGAAAATCTAAAATACGGTCAAAATCATACTGGATGATGCAATCAAGTGATGTAAAAATCAACTAGGTAAACTTCCGACACGGATCTTGAGTTACGGGCATCCACATGAACTGCAACTCTTTTCCATTAAGACGCAATTAATTAGTGTCATACTAATCTTAGTGATATTACTTTATTATAATTATAAGTTCACATACACCTAATTAGATGGTGAAATGACAAGGCCCAAGCTTTTCGGTGTTTTTTTTTTTTTTTTTTTTTTTTTTGTCGACTACCCATCTAAAAACTAGATCAAGTGGTGATCAGACAAGTCGATCCTCCGAGGAGCACCTCTGTCTGGCCTGGTCTGATCTATATGGGAAAATGTAAATCCTTTCCTCCTTGCATCTTTGGCTAATGCATCAGCTCGACCATTTATACTCCGAGGAATATGAGACAGACTCACATCCTCAAAGTCTTCCTGTAGTCTCTTGAGCATCTCCGTCTCTGTCGCGAAAGCCGGCCAGTCCTCCGGGTTAGTAGACATATCTACTAAGTCTGAGCAGTCCGTTTCAAACTGTATCGAGGTTATCCGCAAGTCTCTCAAACATGAGACTGCCCAAGCTTTTCGGTGTTATGTAAAGAGGAGGAGAAGAAAACATTATAGCCGGCCTATCCAAAGCTGGTCAGATTTATCCGACAAGATCTTAGATCAAACGGTGTTAATTCTTCCAATGGCTCACAAAAGTTCTTTATCTAATTATACAAAAGTACGTCTACGGAGAATTTAATGGCTATGATTAAAAGTAGTTTGGGTACGGTCCATGATCAAGATGAGTGAATGATACTCCCTCCGCTTTCTTTTTGTAAGATGTTTTTGAAGGTATGATTAAAAGTAATTTGGAGTATTTATTGCTTTATCACTATATATTAGGTTTGCAAATATATAATCGTGACCTGCTTTTGAAAGATAAACAGAACTATATGATATATCCATAACTTTTGGCAAACCACATTGTCTGGTGTAACTAGTCAGTGTTGGCCACACACACCTATATGTTATAAATGTGTATTAACAATTTTAAACTATAATAATTATTTTGTAAAATAGATATGTTAATGGCCCATACCATTTCATTACAAAAAAAATTATTAGATAAGAAATTAACTGAAATTGGTGAATCGTACTTTTATATAAAGTTTATCTATAATCATACGACAATCCTAACTAAATACAGCAATTAGACTCCACAACATTTTTAAAAAAAATCTTGTTCTAGCATCAGTTCATTAGAGATTATTAAGATGCATGAATCTCGTAGCACCAAATAAGATCTGTTGCGGCCCAAATCAGAACTCATTAAGCTCAAAATTAGGACTCTGCAGAATTTATGGCCATGTTACCATATTATTTACTTAGTATCAAAAACAAAAAAAAAACTGTCACACGTGGCGAGGAGTCTTTTGTCTTTATCAGGGGAGGGTAATTATCCTGTCGGTTTTTCCTTTGACCCCTCCGTTTTTACCTCATCACCAATACAAATTTAACATTGACCTTTTTTTACCAAAATATCTCAAACCCCAACAAATAAAAGTACCTTAGCCTAAAAACGGAAGCGACAAAACATTTCTCATTCTCCGTTCATCAAAGGCTTACTTGAATTAAATTCTCACAATCCGAGCCGAAACTTCTCATCAACTGATTAAAAATCTATATTCCAAATCCAAATTTTGTTGAATTGATTCTTCTCAATGATATCAAGAGATCATCATCACCATCAGGATCCTTTGGATACAACAGCCAATTCAAACCACATGAAACCCTTCATCGTCGCGCCTTCATCAATAACGTTGTCGCAATCGTCGTGGCTGGAGGTCCGTTTGTTCTACGTCCGCATCTCCCCGTGCGTCGTTGACAACGTCCCTGACTTTCTCACCCTCCGTCACCCTCGCCGCGAAACCGGCGCTACCCTCGAGGTTAACGGCGTCCGCATTCCTTCCTCCCAGACAACCTCTCTTAAACTCCGCCGTGACAAAGTCGATCGCGAGTCTTCGGAGGTGACTTACGTTAGCACGGAGAAAATGCGCGTCACCGGGTACGTCGATCTGGAGGTTTACGACGAGGAAGATATGGTTATGTGCGGGAATCTAGATAGAATAGAGGGAGCGTGAGATAACGGAACTGTGAGTGATCCCAAGACTGGATGGGGAATTGATTGTTACATTGCTATCGGAAACCGACTCTTCTTCTTCCTCTGCGTTTTTTAGGCCGAAGCTTGGCGTTTCGTATCCTTCTGTTGAGGTTTATATAGCTGGTTGCTGTGGAGGTGTTCCAGTGATATTGACTAAGACGATTCAGGCGAGTCCAAGGAGGAAGGTGGCTAGGCACGTGACGCTCGACTCTATCCCCAAGGACGTAGAAGTTGAGAAAGAGCATGAAGAGGTTGTTACCACTGGTGATGGATTCTCACATCAACGGAAATTACGTGTATGATTAGGATTTAGCACGTTTCTGATTGATTGATTAGGTGTAGAGATTTTGGTCTTATCTTTGTTTGGTCTAAAATGCAGATTATGGAAGAATCAGCAGAAGTTAATGATGACTATGATGATGATGAGTGTGAGATGAAATTGGGACAGAGTTACTACTACTACCCAGAAGGGGAAGGGATGTACGTGGATGAGGATGGTCAACTCTCATGGTTCAATGCAGGTGTAAGAGTTGGAGTTGGGATAGGGCTTGGGATGTGTCTTGGTGTAGGCATTGGAGTTGGATTGCTCATGCGTTCTTATCAAGCTACTACTAGTAACCTTCGTAGGAGGTTCTTCTGATTACCATCTACTTGAAACAGACTTGATAACTATGGAATTCTCCAGAGGGGTTATAGAAAAGAAAAAGAAAGGAGATAGAATTTTGAAAGATAGAGATGTATAGAGCTCATTTCGTTTTTTCATCGCTTGTGTCTTTCCTTGTTGTGGGTGTATATATAGTCGGGTTTTAGTCCTTGAGCCACATGCATTTGTTTTCTCAAGTCTGTATGTTTGTTACCTTTGTGTAGAAAGAGTTCGATCTTGTTGTGGCTGCCAAATTCTGAAGTTTGTGTGTGTTTTGGTTCCTCTTTCTAAGGCAAAGGTAACATAGATACTGCATAAGGCAGTGTATATGTTTCGTTTTGGCATTCACACGTTATGATAACTAGGAATATGCGAGACATAGATTCTGATTAAGTTTGTTTTTAGACCCTTTAAAGTATTACAAATGTGGTTTTAGCCCCCTCAAATTGTTTTGAATTCATCCCATAAACCAATTTTCCTCTCTGCTCTTGGAAAGTATCTAGAAGAAGAAGACGAAGCACATGAAATGAGCAAGATCCGTTCGACTGCGACAATATCCCATCGTGACCACCCATCTCCTCTCGTCGTCACACTCAACTGCGTCGAGGATTGTAATCTCGAGCATGACTCACTCGTGGGCATCGCTGGTATCGAATACGTCCCTCTCAGTCGTATCGCCGATGGTAAGATCTTCCTTTTCCTAATAGATCAACAAATAATTTAGCAACGAGTGAGTGTTTTCAGCTTTGAAACTAAGATCTCGCTGTTTAGATCATGTGGAACATTGTCGCCATATGAAAGGCTTTCCAACATCTTCTGAACCTCTCTCTCTCTCTCTCTCTTCTTCTTCTTCATACAGATTGTGGCCCATGTTCAGATAAAAAAGCCCATACCAATTTAGGCCTCCAAATAAACTCAACGTTAACGGATACTAATTGATTATAACTATTATTTTCTGACACAACAACGGTAACAACTTGCTTGACCATGCATGGTCCTAGTTAGTTGCTTTCACTAACTACTGTTTTCTTATAAAGTGTGAAACAGGAGTTAAGTTAACTGTTCAAATCGAAAAAGTAATTGAACATTGCGTTTTGCGCAAAAGAAAGACAGGACGGTTTTCTTCTTATAAAATCATAAGAGATTGTAACGTTCCATGACATTGTTTTGGATGATCAAAAGCCTGATCTGAGAATGAGAATAATATGTAATATATATATACTAGATTTTGACCCGCGCAACCGCGCGGGTGTTTGTTTTCGTTTTTAGTTATTTATACAAACATTTTGCTTTCACTGTAAAATTGATATATATTATAGTAATCACATATTTATGATATGTATAGTAAAAGTTTTTCAAATATAATAATATTATATAATACGTGTTTTAATCAAATAGATTGTTTCAAATTTTTATTATATTATATATGTTTTCAAACATGTGTTTGTTTCTTCTTTTATATTTTATTATTTGTTAGATTGATATTTCATTTTTAGATAAAATAATATAAATAGAGTTTGATTAGATATTAGTATACTTTAATTTGCAAAGATAATATAAACTTCAAATTTTTTTTTGCTAAAAACTAAACTTATAGCTTCATAAGTTAATATTATAAAGAATTTTTAAACAATTTATTTTTTTTAAAACTATGTAATTTTAAAAATTTACATCAAAATAAATTTATCTAGTATATATAGCATGTAAATTTTGTTAGGGTATATAAATATTCCATATTACAAATATGTGATTTTTGTTAATATATTGTGGATGCATTTAACTATTATTGACATATTTCCTTATAAATAATAGAAGATTTCTAAACTTATATATATTGACATATTTTGTGTGACTAAATTGGAAGGTGTGGGGTAATTTACCAAAACTAAATTATTAAGTTTGTTATTATAGATATGATTTTCATAAGATATAATAATGATAAGATTATTTGAGAGTTAATGTAACATGATTTTCTAGTAATAGTTCATTTTTAAAAAAAATCACACATGAAGTCAAGTAATGACTTCTGTTTTAATATATAAGATATTTATATGGGGTCAGCTAAGTTGGCGCCAATTCTTGAGGCTTAAATTTGTGGATCCAAATTGAAAATAAGGCCCATTAATTAAATGAAGCGGGTGGGTTGCTGCTATACGGGTTCAGCGTCTTCTTCTATTATACGCCATGCCGATGCCGAAGGGAGTCAGTGAGTAGTCAAATCGGAAGTAGCCGTTGCTGGATATTCTCTTTTCGCCTATAAATTCACACTCTCTCTGAGCCTGAGCCTGAGCCTGAGCCGGCTTGGCTTTAAAAGACTAAAAGAGAGTGAGAGAGAGCCGCCAAGTAAATAATAGCATTCTTCCGCTTCTCGAATCTGCTCCGTGTAGCACAACATGGTTCTCGTTCTCAGTAAGTTCCTTCAGATCTCGTCTCTTCAAATCTCTCTCTATTAGGTTTCTTCACGTTCTAATGCTTTTACTGAAATGTTTCAGAGGACTCTTTGAAGCGTGAATCTGATACAAAGGTTCACCATGGTAACAACATTCAAGCCTCCTCCGCTCCAAGGTAATAATAATTAAGTCTTTTCCTTTTCTTTTTTTTTTTTGTGTTTAGTTTTTACTTCATTTCACGTTATGTGTCTGCTAAACTCTTTGTTTATGCCACTTTACAGGAATTGTTGTTACCAACGATGGGAATATGCTATTTTGCGTGAACTAGATCCATGTTGCTCACCCTGCAGCTAAGCTCTTACTTCTTCTCTCTTTTTTTTTTTAACCTTATTGTTGTCTTCTCATTGTTGTTTTTTTCTGATATGTTTATCTTCTCTTTGTGTTGGTTGTAGTATATGATTGAGCTGAGCCGCACACAGGACGAAGAAGTGGGTGATGGGACTTCTACATCTGTTATTTTTTCTTGGTCTGTACATTACATCTGATTGACACTATTATCTGCACTTGGTTTGATTTTGAAGCAGTGTACTTGTGACGTTGTATTGTGGATTGATACTCCTCAAAAGTGATATTTGCATCTGTTCTGAAAGCAACGCATCTTCTCCTGCTTTTACTTACTCATTTCTTATTGTCCAAAAAGCTGGTGAAATGCTACATGTTGCCCAAGCATTCATTGAAAAGAGTTACCATCCCACAGTCATATGCCGAGGTATACTTGCCTAATGATTTGCTACAGCTCCACAGTGTTGTAGTTTTTTACTTGTTCTTCATTTGAATAATGTTTTGAACAATGTTTTCTTCACTGCAGCTTATAATAAGGCTCTGGAGGATGCCATCGCTGTTCTTGACAAGATTGCCATGTCAATCCATGTTAATGACCGTAACTCCTTCCTTCTTCCTCTTTGATATTTTCTGTCAGGGTAAAAGACTTTTCATTCCTGATCTTGGGAATTACTCATGTTTACTGATAGAAAAATGTTTATATTGCAGGTGCAACGGTTCTAGGATTAGTCAAGGGCTGCATAGGAACAAAATTCACTAGCCAGTTTGGAGATCTTATTGCTGGATAATAGATCTTAGCCAATATTTTGGGATACACAAGAAACTTAAATTGGGCTTACTGTCATTACAGGCTTTGACCTTTGGATATAGCACTGCCAAGTGACTGTCTGAGAGCTCAATGACGAGTCCAAGAAGAAGCTGAAGACATCAACGAGTGAGCAAGCAGAGAACCCGACAACAACAACTCAAATCTGCAAAGATTTATGTTGTGGTGAGAGCAACATCTACTCAAAGAACATCAGAGACTTTTTTTGGAAGGTAAAGCATCTGGTTTCTCTTTTACTCAAGTAGCTTGTTGACATGGCTTGTTAAAAAAATGCTTTAGACACAAGAGATATAGAATAATGAAGCAAAATGAATTAGGACAGTCTTTGGTTTGTGGCTGATGGATTCTTTAAGTATCTTGAAAATTTCCTTAGATCTTTGAGTGTAAAATAACAAAGTTTCCTTTTTATCTTGCAGACATAAGTATATTTGCTAAAGCTGCTTCTCCAATGGTTTGTTTTAGTACTAGACAGCTACAAGATTAAAAAGGTCAGTTCTCCATTTTTTTTTCTACTTTCACAGTTAAAACAAGAAAGGTTAATTAAATAAATAAGTAAAGATTTTTTTTTCTTACTGCATTTTTTGAATTCAATTTTTTTTCTCTTGATGTTTTTATTTTTTGCTTTGTAGGTGAGCTTCACAGGAAGTAAAAAAATGGAATCCTCTTTCTTCAGCCGTGTAAGGTATGGAATCCTCTTTCTTCTCTGTTTTTTCTTTTTTTTTGGGGAAATTCTATATATTATCGGATTGATAGACACTAAATTTTCATAATTTGTAAAACAAATAGAATGCGGCGTCCAGTCTTTGATTTGTCCGTTAAGTTTTGATTTGTCTTTACACATTTGTTATTTGGTCACTCAAAACCAGTAACCGTGATTGTCTAGATAAGCGGTACCGTGATTGTCTAGATAAGCGGTATCGTGAGTCTAGATAAACGGGATTGGTAGACACTAAATTTATAGTGTGTAAAACAAATAGAAATGCAGCGTGCAGTCAATATGTCCGTTAGAGACGTTAAGTTTCATTATTGTCTTCACATTGTCATATTTGGTCACTCAAAACCAGTAACAAATTCTAGTTTTTTGGATTGGTAGACACTAAATTCATAATGTGTGAGACAATAGAAATGCGCAGTCATTTGCCTTTATACACTTTGTGATCAATTTAGTCAGTCAAAATCAGTTTGGTAATTAAGAGTTTCCCCATTCGTATTTTTGTTTGCGTGTTTCTGGTTTTTTTTGTTTTCGTGTATGTCAGGTTAGGAATCAGTGATGCTGCGCTATGGAACTTGACGGTGAAGGCTTATCTGGATATGGGTTTTTTAAAGAAGATGCTGGCGAGACCTGTCTTCTCAATTTCAGACAAGGTATGTGTTATAGTTTATCATTGATTGTGTGTACTGAAATTAGGAACTTAAGATAGAGAGATTCAGCAAATGGTTGTGTCATTTGTATTACTAGCTTAAGTCGTTCAGTCTCTTAAGTTCCTACTTGATTACTTATTTGGGGGATAGTTTTTAATGTTTCTACATTTTCAGGGAAGAGTAGTTAGTTGGGCATGTATGTGGTCATTAGCTGAGATTTGTAGAACCGTGGAAAGCCTTTCATATGGCGACAATGTTCCACATGGTCTAAACAGCGAGATCTTAGTTTCAAAGCTGAAAACACTCACTCGTCGCTAAATTATTTGCTGATGTATCTGTGATAAGTTGCGAGTGATGTCATTTGGCTTCACTGTGCGTTGACAGGTTCAGATACTCAACCAACGCAGAGTGTTTGCAGCATATCAAACCTGGTAATCTTCTCTCTCTCTCTCTCTTGTCTTTGAATTTTTGAGATTGAAAGATGATAAAGCTGATTTTTTTTTTTTTTTTGAATACGTTAGGGGCTTTTCTTGTAAACACTGGAAGCTGCCAGCTGCTGGATGAAACTATAGCTGTGAAACAACTTGTGATTGATGGCACTATCTATAGAGCTGGCTGCGCTCTTGAAGGTCCTCAATGAATGGATGGGAAGCTTGGGTATGGCTTCTTTCCCTTGTCACTTGATCATCTCCTCTCTTTCTGCTGTTATTTATGTATCCAACTCTTGTGTGTCAAAAATGCAGGTGAAGGAAATGCCGAATGTGTTAATCCTACCAGAAGATTACAGTGAGCAAGTATGGATGGAGATACGAGAGAAGGCCATCTCTATCTTGCATTTCTTCTTCTTAGATTGGAAAGTGAAGAAGAAGAAGAAGAAGAAGAAGAAGAAGAAGAAGAAGAAGAAGAAGCACCTATCAGGCATGAGAAACTAGTATTAGTTGAAAGAATAATTGGTGGTGAGAGATGTTAAAAGAAAAATGTTGCAGGCGGTTGTGGAGATCTTGGCGATGGTTGGAAACGATGGCATTACACGCTGGACCGATTGAAAAGACTGAAAGAAAACAGAGTCTCTCTCGCCTCAATTTCTGAGTTTCTCTCTCTTTTCATATTCACCTTAGGTTTGTTTCGGTCTCGTGTTGTCTAATTTGTAATGTGTATTGTTTTTTGTTCCTAACCTCTTTTTGTTTTAGTATTCGGTTTGCTCCAATGAGTTTTAAGGTGTGGGAAGCCGAAATCTAGCACAAGATTCTCTCTATATTTACAGTCAAAAGTAAAAGTAGCTCTCACTATAAAACGCATCACAGAAATATTATTCCTAGGATATAAAGTCAAAGTGGTCAAATGTTCTGCCGTGCAACGCAAGCCACGATAAGCAAGAGACAACAGTAGCGGCGAGAGCGGTTCAAGGCATCATAAGAAAAAGCTAAGATGAAAAAGAGTCACTTAAGTGACTTTGCTTCGCACACCACCATTTAATTTGCATTGATAGATTCTTCGTATGTCAATTACAGAATATTTTCATTCTTCGGCTCTCGAGTCTTGCCTTGCGTTTTTCTTTTCGTTTTTCCCAGAAAGTTCATTAAAAGCCCGAATGGATAGTAATTATCAAAGCCCGAATGGATAGTAATCATACACTGCCCAACAACAGTTCGAGACGCCATTAACAAGAGATAAACACACGTGTAACTATCAACCATTTGGAGCTTGTCAATGTGTGTATATTGGAGATTGTCCATGTGTGTTTTTGTCTGTTGGTTCTGTCAGTAAATAAACAAGCTTATGAATGAAAAAAATTCACACCACCTCTCACGTGTCTCATATATTTTATAATTTCTCTCGTAGACCAATAAAACGAAAAAAATTCACACCACCAAAGATGGGTGGGTTATATTATAGGCTTATAGCTATTCGATTTCTTACTCAAAAACTTTAAAATGTACTAATACTGGTAGGAATCAATATAAAACGAAATCGAATAAAACAAAAAAAAGACAAAAATTGTATATACAGAAAGTCAGAACTTGGTGTAATGTAAAGTGATGTAATGATGATAAGGAAGAAAGAATATGAATGGGAATGGGCCTGATTCATCTTTTCCTCGTTGGCTTTAAAATGCACATTCTCTTTTTTGACACGCGTGAGATTCGTGGCCGGTGAAAGACAGTGACACACATAAGTCGACATATGATTCGTGTCTATTCCGCACGTCCTTACCGGCACGAACTCGATGAACCTACCAGCACCGAACCGGCTTCCTTACGACCATCCAATTTGCCGTATCACATCTTTCTCCCTAGCAAGTAGCAAGCACTTCTCAGTTCTTAAGCAACTTTTATGTTATCTTTACATAATTATTGCGTCACAATTACGGATATTATTTATTGTGTATAGTTTTTGGCACTAGTATGAATCTATTTGACCCATATAGCTTAGTATTTAATTTACTCTTACTTAAAACGAACATCTAATGTCATATTTGAAATGTATTTGGACAGGTTTTAACGGATCAACACCTTAACTAGAATACTAATTTTATCAAATAGGCCATGAGCAATTGAAAGGTAGCCTGGTCCTTGGCTTCTTCCGCAAGTCAGAGTCTTCTACTATATATTTATAGTCACTGTACGCTATATTCCATTGAAACAACATAAATCGTATGCATATATATTCCTATAGCTGAACTAAATTGTTTAAGATTGGGAGGATGTACAGACGAAAATCCAGATTGGTCATGCATGTATAATATATTTTTACCATATAGAATTTTGAAAATAAATATCTTTTATGCGGTAATGTAATTTAGCCAACACTGGTTAAATACAGATTTGAATCTAGTCCTTTTTATCCAGCTGAAAAAATGTTTAGTTTCAAAAACTTGGTAATAATTAATATCTACGTGTCATAACTTTCTATCCAACTCATGGTACGTTGCACATACCGTATATTCTATATTTTTTCATATCGTATATTCAAATATTAAAAAAAACGATTTTATTCCTTCATACCCTTTTCTACGCCATCTCGGCCTTAAAACACAAATGGATGAAAAAATAATGAATGAAAACAAAAAACAAGATCCATGGGGAGAGTCACATGCATGGAGCATGCAACTAGCTTACTTCATCTAATTCCCACTCAAAATTTTCTCTTTATATATATACTTTCTCTAGCCTCCTTCCCTCACAACAAGCTAGCTGATCCTTCTCACTAAAGCGAGATCATATCTTTTAAAATCGTAGGACAGAGAGAGAAAAAAGGAGAGAGAGAGGATGGAGATCATCAAAAGCAATAATGGTGGTTCGAGCCCATCTGTGGGAGAAGAGTTTAAGGATATGATTAAGCGAGTGAGTAAGTTCTTAATGATGGTGGTTTTCCTTGGAACTATCATGCTTTGGATCATGATGCCAACACATACCTATCGCAAAAAGTGGCTGCCTTATATGCGTTTAAAGTTTGGAGAATCAACTTATTTTGGTGCCTCAGGTTTGTACATCAATTAATATATTGATTTAGTAAACATCTAGATTTTGCTCTCACTAACTTTAGGAGCCTCTGACTGTTATAAACATATATTTTGTGTTATTATTTTTTAAAAATTTGTTAAAACAAGTTTTGTTTATTAAAAGAAAAAAGAGTTTTGTTTATCAAGCAACAACGTATAAAAACTTGAAAACGCAAATGCCAAACACAAAACAAACCTTGATTTCGCGTTTGCATTTACAACTCTTAAGAATATTAATATTCTTCTTTCGTTTTTTGCACTACAGGTACAACACTTTTCATGTATATGTTCCCAATGATCGTCTTAGCTTGTTTGGGATGTGTCTATCTTCACTTCAAGAAACGAAAGAGTCCACACCATAACCATAGGTACAAATTAAAGTTCATCGATTAAACCGATGTATCATGTCGACAGACTAGCTAGTTGTACACCTTTCAACATTCTTTTGACAAGTTGTTTCTCTGCATATATAATTATAAAGGGAGACGAGTGGAGTAGTAGTGTGGAGTGCACTGAGAAAGCCAATGTTAGTGAAGGGACCATTGGGGATAGTCTCAGTGACCGAGATCATGTTCTTGGCTATGTTTGTGGCTCTTCTTCTTTGGACCTTTATCACTTCCTTGCGCAATAAATTTGCCACTATCACTCCTCAATCAGCCGCCGCTCATGGCGAATCTTTGTAAGCATTTCTTTCTCTTCTTTCACTATCAACCATACAAAATATAGTATACGGTTTGTCTTGGTACTATATATCTTTTATTTTATATCTATCTGAACAAATTACAGTTATTATAGGAAAAAACTATGCAAAATAAACCAATATAATTATATTGATTACTAAAATACTATAATATCATGATAATTTGCATACAAAATCATTTGGATCAAATAAAGTTTTAATAGATCAAGGGAACTAGTATATAGGACAGCTTAGCATGGGTTCCGAATTTTGATAGTTAGGTTTAATAAAAAAAAACAATTGATGAATTAAGGTGGCAAGCCAAGCTGGAGTCAGCGGCGCTAAGGATAGGGCTGATTGGAAACATATGTTTAGCCTTTTTGTTCTTACCGGTGGCGCGTGGGTCGTCATTGCTACCGGCGGTGGGACTAACCTCGGAGTCGAGCATCAAATACCATATTTGGCTCGGGCATATGGTCCTGACTATTTTCACCGTTCATGGCCTATGTTACATCATTTACTGGGTCTCTATGCATGAAATCTCTCAGGTATATACTTTGTTAATTTAAGTACTGTCAAATCTTTTTGCTTCATAATTAACCAGGTTAATATATATGGATTCGATATGACTCGGCTTAATACTTTCAATAATTGGGTCTCCCGTCACTAGATACTAATAAAGTCAACAAGTCTAAATTTATGCACGATTTGCGGTCAACGTCACTATGAATGGAACGTTCCATACGAAGTTCTTTATTAATATTATTAATTATTTAATTGCGGTCAAATATTTAAAACTGTGTCAAATGGGGTAAAGCAATAAATATGGCTGATCCAAAAACAAAAAAAATTAATCGAAGCACGCATTTTAAGGTTGAATTTTTGGATAAGAGTTCATTGTAAAGAAACCGTATACTATTAATGTATATTTTCTCCGTTTTAATTTAGTTATTAAATTTTTTTGTTTTAAAATAAATGTTATTCTATAATTTAATGCAAAAATTTTTTGACTTTATCTACTATAATATTTTTCTATTGATTAAAATATGTTTAGGTGTATAAATAACTGTATTTTTTAGAAAATATATAAATTAAATATTTTTAATATATGTGAAATAATTAAAACAACAAATAAAAAGAAACAAAATGAGTAATTAAATTTCATTTCATGTCTTTTAAAAACCGATAGAATCTCATATTGTGAAGTCCAAGATAAATCCTATGATTTTTTTTGGGTCAACCTTTTACGTTTTTCATTTCACTATGGTGGAATTAATTAATGGAGCAGATGATCAAGTGGGATACAAAAGATATCTCGAATTTAGCAGGAGAGATATCACTAGTAGCTGGACTCTTGATGTGGGCCACCACATTTCCGGCAATAAGGAGGAGGCTTTTCGAAGTCTTCTTCTACACTCACTATCTCTACATCGTCTTCATGCTCTTCTTCGTCCTCCACGTTGGAATAACATTCTCACTCACCGCTTTGCCTGGCTTCTACATCTTCATGGTCGACCGTTTCCTTAGGTTTCTTCAGTCGCGTGACAATATTCGAGTTCTCTGTGCTCGGATTCTCCCTTCCCACACCATCGAGCTCACTTTCTCCAAAAACCCTAGTGAGTTCTCAAAAATTTACAACTTCTTATTGCATGTGCTTCAAATACTACTGTAGTTTTTATCTAGAAGCTATATAATATAGTATTCTTTTGTAAAAGCAGGTTTGGTTTATAGCGCGACGAGCATATTGTTTGTGAACATACCGAGCATTTCCAAGTTGCAATGGCATCCATTTACGATAACATCAAGCAGCAAAATGGAACCAGAGAAGCTAAGTGTTGTGATCAAGAGGGAAGGCAAATGGTCAACTAAGCTTTACCAGATGCTTTCCTCCTCTGATCAGATCGACCACCTCGCTGTCTCTGTCGAGGGTCCTTACGGTCCTGCTTCCACTGATTTCTTAAGGTATTTATTATCTATTTACTTTCTCAAAGACACAACAATTGTTTGTTTGCTTGGGTTTCAAGAAACACTGATACCGCATGTTATTTTTGGGGTGTTCTAGGCATGAAGCTTTGGTTATGGTGAGTGGAGGAAGCGGTATAACTCCATTTATCTCTGTCATTCGTGATATGATAGCAACAAGGCAAAACCAAAAATGCAAAATCCCCAAAATCACTCTGATTTGTGCGTTCAAGAACTCTTCAGAAATCTCAATGCTTGATCTTGTCTTGCCATTATCCGGTCTCCAAACCGAACTTCCCTCTGACATAGACATCAAAATAGAAGCCTTCATAACCCGAGAGAAAGAACCAAGAAGCGAAGCTACAACGACCGAGAAACTCAAAACTCTCTGGTTCAAACCAAATCTTTCAGACCAGCCCATCTCATCAATCCTCGGACCAAACTCGTGGCTATGTCTCGGCGGAATTCTCTCATCCTCCTTCTTGATCTTCTTGATAATCATCGGTATCATCACTAGGTATTACATTTACCCGATCGACCACAACACCAACAAGATCTATTCATTGACTTCAAAGAACATCATATACATCTTTGTAATCTGTGTGAGCATCATGGCGACTTCTAGCGCAGCTGTGTTTTGGAACAAGAAGAACAAGTACGGTAACGTCGACAATAAACAGGTTCAGAACGTCGACGTTCCATCTCTAACGTCTTCTCCAACCTCATATGGTAACAATTCCTTGAGAGAAATCGAAAGTTCGCCACAAAAATCGCTCGTGCAGTGCACCAACCTGCACTACGGAGAAAGACCTAACCTCACGAGTAATATATATACATAACCTTATCCATATCTATATATCTATACGTATACGAGTATATTGTTATTCTAATTAATTAGGTGCGTGTTGGTGTATATGAACAGAACTTTTACTTGACGTGGAAGGCTCGAGTGTGGGAGTTCTTGTGTGTGGTCCCAAGAAGATGAGACAAAAGGTTGCGGAGATATGTTCATCTGGTTTGGCTAAGAATCTCCATTTTGAGTCTATCAGTTTCAGCTGGTGAGTGCTTATTATGTAGAAAACGAAGTTGCTTGAATTACAAGCTAATAAGGTGGGCCTGTGATTTGACCTATCTTTCTGCGCCTCATACGTTTGACTCTTTCCGGTTGTTGTCTTTAGGAATATTTTAGTGTAAAAATCCCCACCCCAAAAGTTACCCGCCACAATCCTTACGTACGTTTCTTATACAGTATGTTACAAACTCGGTCACTACTTAAGGCATGTAGCTTTTGTAAATTGTAAATGCTGAAAAATAATAAATTCATAAGATCTGGTTCTGTTTCTATTTCTTAGTTCATTCTAAAATCCTATGTGTAGCAAATCAAAACGACACGGAGATCCCGTCGTCTTGAATGCCTACTTTGTGGAAAAAAATGCAATCTTCTTATTCTTAATAACTTCCTCTACATTCATGATATCTACAAACCAAAATTTTAAAACGCATTACTACCAAAAGGTTATCTATTTTCTATGAAAAGAGAAAAGACAATAGAGACAATCGACTCCACAACAACACTGCTCTTTCCTCATAAAGATTCAAACAGATCGAACAATGCATCAAATATATCATCCTAGTTTGCAGATATCGGAAAGCTTCCAATAGTTTGTTCTCACATTAATTTATCCAATCCATAAATTTAATTATTTGAGATTTTCTCAGTGACTAAATTCTACAAGGAATAAAATCGACGGTAAGAGAAAGGAGTAGAATTATAGTTTTTTTTTGTAGAATTATAGTATGATATATAAGAACTAGTTCGACACGCAAAGATTCGTGTACAAAGTAACATTGACACACATCCGCGTGGGCAAGTCACACTCTAGAGGAGCTTTAATTATTCAACTTCCCATTATTTGTTTACAAAGTATTTATATTGTTGTACTTTTTTTTTCATGAACATTATTTCTTACACTTATTGACCTTTTGTTTTGTTATCTTAAGTATCACATTAATTTTTTTTTTGTTATAACAGAGGCATTTCAACATTTTGATGTATAATATTTTAATCATGATTTGACACTTTTTAAAACATTTTTCGACTAAAAGATTAATTTTATATATTTTTTATTGAAGATTTTAACTTTTCTTAATTAAAATCTAAGACAAACTAAAAACCATCTTTTACCCGAATCTAAACTCTATTGAAGAGATCGAGGTTAATCATAATCCTAGAATTCAACGGTGCCAATATGAAACCAGGAAAAATGGCACTTGACATTTAGGCTTTTTTTGAAGAGTCTGCTCTTTTTCTCTCTCCTGTTGACATAAAGTTTCCAGGAAGTTCGATTTTGTTCCCTAATCTCTAATTTGGACCCAAAGACAAGTATGTAAGTGCTGATGAGCAGATCGCGCACCAGTGAAAGTCCGAAGTAGCGTGCATACTATTTCCTTCCGGAGGGGACCTTCCACTAGTCTACCACACGCTAGACTATAGCTAGCAAACCCCATTTTAAAATCAGTAATAAAAGGAAAATGTAGTTTAAATATAGATTAATTATAAAAATAATTAAATTTGCGTTTATACAGGCATATATACGGGTTTAGTTATCCATTAATTGACCATTGCAAACTCCATATATAAGATACATCGCTTTGTTTTTTCTTTCTTATCTTTTGGAATTTAATCTCTTGTTGTAACATGGGATTAGGAGAAATGAGTAAGGACGTGACTATGAAGGTGATTAAGCTCTTAACGCTGGCGATCATTGGGGAGGCTATGGTGATTTGGATCATGATGCCAACTTCTACTTACAAGAAGATCTGGTTAACATCCATGCGTGCCAAGCTCGGCAAAACGCCTACTTTCGGGAAACCAGGTTTTTCTTATGTTAGATATTCTAATCTAGTTTCCAATTAGTTTATACGAATATCAAATGTATATTTTTTTTTTTGGTAAAATACAAATATCAAATATGTGTGTATATACATACAAATAATTGGTTTTTCTTTTAATTAGGAGTGAATCTTCTGGTTTACATGTTCCCGTTGATTCTGCTGGCTTTTCTGGGATCTATCTACCTTCACTTGAAGAAACAAACTGTTGACCAATTTCATAGGTAATTAAACACTTAAACGATCAACTGATTATTTTTTTATTAACCTCATGTTATGATATTCTTTCTTTTCTGTCAAATTAAAAGTGGGTTGTTGAAGAAGAAGAGAGACAAGTTCGGTGCATTGAGAAAACCAATGTTTGTGAAGGGGCCATTAGGGATAGTGACAGTGACGGAGGTTATGTTCTTGACGATGTTCATGACTCTTCTTCTTTGGAGCTTAACCAATTACTTTTATTATACTTTTGTCACCATCACTCCTCACTCAGCACCAGTCCACGGAGATAATATGTAAGATTTATATACGTTTTTTTTGGCGATTAACGTAATTATCGTGTATATATCGCTAAAAGATACATACACAATATATATATCGTTTATAATTGATCATGTAGATTCAGTCACCATTGTTGCTTTAGTTATTGAATGAATAGTATGCTCTTTTTATAATATTTAAGATATGAAGAAAAATAATTTAAAAAGTTTTTAAAGGAACTGTATTCGTGGGTCTTAAAATTAGAGTGCAACTTTAGTCAAAAGTTTGATATGAAACTCAAATAATTAAATAAATAAATAATTGTCTGGCCCATGATTCTCTGAAACACTCATATCTTTCAATAATTTGACCTTTTGTAAACATTATTATGAGATACAAATTCTACATTGACGTGTAGTATTTGCAAACAAGCTAACTGACAAACTTTTCATTCACAATGTGTTTGCTTCTGATAAACAACTGAAAAGATGGGAAGCAAGACTTAATTCGATAGCAGTACGGTTAGGTCTAGCAGGGAACATATGCTTGGCCTTCTTGTTCTACCCAGTGGCTCGCGGCTCGCCGCTGCTGGCTGCAGTTGGACTTACGTCAGAATCAAGCATCAAGTACCATATATGGCTCGGCCACTTGGCCATGACCTTATTCACATGCCACGGCCTTTGTTACGTTATCTATTGGATATCCACAAATCAAGTCTATCAGGTTAGTCTATGATATCCTATACAAGTTTTTTTTTTATAATTTTTCATGAATTTGTTAATAGTGAATATATCCCTAATTGTTGGGGTGAATAGATGGTGGAATGGGATAGGACGGGTATCTCGAATATAGCCGGAGAGATAGCTTTGGTGGCCGGACTTGTAATGTGGGCCACCACATTCCCGGCAATAAGAAGGAGATTCTTCGAAGTCTTCTACTACACTCACCACCTCTACATCGTCTTCATGCTCTTCTTTGTCTTCCACGTTGGCATATCTCACTCGTTGATCTCTTTACCCGGTTTCTACATCTTCATCACCGATCGTTTCTTGAGATTTCTCCAGTCGCGCAACAATGTCAAGCTAGTCTCTGCTCGTGTCCTTCCTTGTGACACCGTCGAGCTCTCTTTCTCCAAAAACCCTTGTGAGCTTTTAATTATAACAATCAGTTTTTATCTTCTTCTTCAATTGATTATCCATTCAAGAACCATATGCTTAATTTACAGTGCTGATGTATAGCCCGACGAGTATATTGTTTGTGAACATACCGAGTATTTCCAAGCTTCAGTGGCATCCATTTACCATAACTTCAAGCAGCAAACTCGAACCAGAGAAGCTAAGTGTTATGATCAAGGGCCAAGGCAAATGGTCTACTAAGCTTTACCAGATGCTTTCTTCTCCTGATAAGATCGATCGCCTCACTGTTTCCATTGAAGGACCATACGGCCCTAGTTCCACTGATTTCTTACGGTAATTGTAACCTAAATCCCAGACAGAGAATTTCAACATTAGGTTTGTTTGCATGACAAGTTACATTGATGCTTTATTTTTTTCTTATAGACATGACTCTCTGGTCATGGTGAGTGGAGGCAGTGGGATTACACCGTTCATCTCCATTATCCGCGACCTAATCTACTCTAGCTCAACTACTACTTGTAAAATCCCCAAAGTGACGCTAATCTGCGCGTTTAAGAAATCCTCTGACCTCTCCATGCTCGACCTAATCTTACCTATCTCCGGTGAGAATATATCCTCGTACTTAGATATCCAGATCAAAGCCTTCGTCACCCGAGAGACGGAATCAACTCACAACAAGAAGAACGTCATCAAACCCCTCTGTTTCAAACCACATGTCTCAGACCAACCCATCTCACCCATCCTTGGACCCAACTCATGGCTCTGTCTCGCCACCATCCTCTCTTCTTCATTCATGATCTTTGTTATCATCATTGGAATCATCACCAGATATCACATTTACCCAATCGAGCATGGCTTGAGTAAGTTTACATCGGCTTATAAATCTGCCATTTACCTTCTAGCAATCTCCTTTAGCGTGGCGGCTACGTCTTCAATCGCTGTGTTGTGTAACAAAAAGAAGTATTATACAAAAAATGACCAAGCCGTCGAAGGTTTGTCCCCGTTGATGACCGAAAGCTCGCCACAACAGTTGCTCTCGCAATCCACCAGCATTCATTACGGAGAAAGGCCTAATCTTAATCGTAAGTCTATATAACATTTTCATACATGTATCAGACTGCAGAGTTTCTTTACTTTTTCTAAGTTGTCACTATGTTCACTGTGTGAAAGCAGAGCTTCTAGTAGGTTTAAAGGGTTCAAGTGTGGGAGTGCTTGTGTGTGGTCCGAGGAAGATGAGGCAAGAGGTTGCAAAGATATGCTCCTTTCCTTCCCCTGAGAATCTTCAGTTTGAATCTATCAGCTTCAGCTGGTGAATGATTCTATATTATGTGACATTTGTTTGCTTGCAAAAGAAGTAAAGGGGTTTAGATAGTAGTTGACACATTTTGAGGATAAGCACATCAATTTTCACCTGATAACAAATATGTCACATAGTCACCTGAGGATTTACAGTTTAAGTGATTTATAATGGCATAATAATTTCATTTTTCTTTTGTCATCCGTAAAATAAAAAGACAAGACAAAAACAGAGGCCCAAACGTTTGCCTCTTCACCCATGAGATTATGAGGCCGAAGGCCATCAACTATCTACTCTCTTTGGAAGGAACCAAACAACTATTCAAGTATCCAGGTTGAGAGAAATTGATCGACACCATGCTGGCCAAAGGTAAGAGGAAGAAGTGTCAACTACTCATCTGTGATCAACCAGTAGTAGTATGTGGACAAAAAGTAGGTAAAGATTCAACCGCCGCTTTGCAGTTAGAGACTACTTGAATACTATTGACATGCCATTCATGCTGTAAGCTCCCCATGTCGATAAAATACATTTCAGTATAGCCTACATAGTGCACGAGCTGGTAGGTGACATTTATATTTTCTAGTAAATAATTTTGCAATTCCATATAAAATAACAAAGATATCATGTCTCATTATTTAGATTAATAAATTAAGAGTCAACATGAGTGATAAGATAATTTTCTATAATTGTTATTAGGTTGGCAAGCCATCTAATGTTCACTATTGTACACCTACCTTTGTGTTCCATTTACTACAAAACAAAGTACAAACCACTGTTCTTGTTTTTTCTTTTTAAATCATTACGATTCTTCTACAATAATTTATCAGGGACTATATAATACATAAACCGATCTCGATTATGATTTATGCACATATGTGTATTATAAAGTTTAGTATTGTGAATACTATATATGCTTAGGGAAAATAAATCAAAACTTAAGAAATCCTTAATACCTGATCTGCATGTTCCATGCATGTTTCATAAATATATACCTTATTTACCCTTTTGGTCCCTTCTCTAAATCATCAAAACAAGATAAAATGATACACACACGCAAATGATTTATATCTATCAGTACATGAAGCAGTAAAATGATGTTAAACCAGAAGAAGAAGAAGAAAAACAATACGACCACGGACCAGTTACAGTCTTGGGAAATAACAAAAGTCAGAACCCTTTTCAGTTTTGACTTTCATCCCATCCCAATTGGTTAGCATTTTTCTTTCTTAGTACTTGATATTCTGCTGCCCCACTTTTTTTTTCATTATTTGGTTAAAATTTCGATTATTTTCATCAGTAAACGTCCAAGATAAAGAATCATTAAAAGGAGAAACTAAAAGTCAAAATAATGACACAAGAAGTGTTTCTAGGTGAGGGGAGAAACTCAGAGAAGTGTTTTCCTAAAACAAATATACTAGTCTAGGTCTCGAGCTGCTTACCAAATCCCCAAACAGATAACCCAAAACGAGGAATTTTGTTAGAAGTGAAATCTCTCTTCTGAACCATCTGTATACGTGAGTTCTCACCTAGCTTACTTACAAATTTTATATTAATCATGTAGTGTACCTAAAATATACCTAAAAAGTCTTTTAAACAAAACTAAAACGAACTAAAATATACATAAATTTTCACATATATTAATCAATAATAACCATCAACCCAATTAATAAATTTCAGCTAGAATCATTTTTAGTTAGAACAGAAGAAAATTATTTAGCAAAAAAAAAAAAAAAAAAAAATTATTTAAATATTATCTTTTCTTCAGTTTAAAATTCATTTGATTTTGTAAAACAAACCAAAATATCCTCAAACTGAAACAAGTGAATAAACGAAGCAAAAAAAAAATGAAAATATCATTTGTAGCTGTACCTGTAAAAGAACCAAACATGTGTTAACGTCTAAACATTAAAAAAAAAATTAAAATAGACGACTTTTTCTTATTTTTCCCTACCATCTTTTGTGCCTAGCTTATGTTCTCAACTAATCCCATTTAATTCACCACACATATACATAACAGATACAATCTATAAATGGCCATTAAATGAAAGTATTCCTTTCGCTGCAAAATTAGGTACTAGCAAAGCATAAAACATACCACTTTACCACTTCTTGATATCCAAAACTGAAAAACCTCCCAACGAGAACCGCGAAATCATAATGAGTGGTTGATTCTGATAGTTACGAGTGACAAGAGTGTAAATAAGTGAGAGAAGCTCCTTTCCTCCCTATAAATTTTCCCAACAAGCACATTCATTCCCATCACTTCATCTTTTCATTTCTCTTCTCAATCATCAAAGTCGTCATATTTCCCCCGAGGAAATATTAATCAAAGAGCTATATGGAAATATCCAATGCGATGCTTCTTGTAGCAATCGTTGCAGCGTATTGGCTATGGTTCAAGAGGATATCACGGTGGCTAAAGGGTCCACGTGTGTGGCCTGTATTGGGCAGTCTCCCTGGTCTGATAGAGCAGCGTGACAGGATGCATGAATGGATCACCGAGAACCTCCGTGCGTGCGGCGGAACATACCAGACTTGTATATGTGCAGTGCCTTTCCTGGCAAGGAAGCAAGGTCTGGTGACTGTTACGTGTGACCCGAGGAATCTTGAACACATGCTCAAGACCCGGTTCGATAATTACCCTAAAGGTCCCACGTGGCAATCCGTCTTCCACGACCTTCTTGGTCAAGGTATTTTCAACTCCGACGGTGACACTTGGCTATTCCAACGCAAAACCGCCGCTCTCGAATTTACAACAAGGTAACCTAATATACCAAACCGCTCGGTTTAGCCATCATGCACTTTTTTGGGTGCAACATCATGCATTGAGCAAATCCATTCCTTGAGTGATCAGTTTCACAATTCAGCTACTATATTGATACATATTCAAATATATCTTTCTCCCCGGTTCACTGCCAGGAGAAAACAAGTTAACAACCCCATCTGTTTAATCTTTAGTTTTGCATTAATATAAACTAGATCTTTACTCGCTCAACCGCACGGGTATTACTTTCAACTTTATATACATATCTTACTTTTTTTAATGAATATATATTTTTAACGTTGAACATATATTTAAATGTTTATATAAATGTATTGTTAGTTTCAAGATGTTTTTATGTATTAAGAAAATGAAAATGGAAATTAAATATGGTTGTTAAAATTTTATTATACAAATACAAAAGATAAGATTATAACTTTTCTAAGGAATGATCTATTTAAAAAAAATAAAATTATAGAGAAGTTGTGACTTCTGTATTACTATATAAGATATTTGAACCAATCTCTCAGGGTTAGTTTCACGGTTTCAGTACATATATCATCTGTATTACTATATAAGATATTTGAACCAATCTCTCAGGGTTAGTTTCACGGTTTCAGTACATATATCATCAAATGGAACCATTAGTTATTTTCGGTTTACTAATGTATTAATACTCGGTTTGGTAATGTGAATTAATGATGGTTCAGAACGTTGCGGCAAGCCATGGGTAGGTGGGTAAACCGAGGAATTAAGCTCCGGTTCTGTCCAATACTTGAATCGGCCCAAGCCAAAGCTGAGCCGGTTGATCTCCAGGACTTGATACTCCGGCTCACATTTGATAACATCTGCGGATTGGCGTTCGGCAAGGACACAAAAACCTGCGCGCCGGGCCTTCCTGAGAACAGTTTTGCTACGGCCTTCGATCGAGCCACCGAAGCATCGCTTCAAAGGTTTATATTGCCGGAGTTTCTGTGGAAGCTGAAGAAATGGCTTGGGCTGGGCCTAGAAGTCAGTCTGAGCCGAAGCTTGGAAGAAATGGATGGATATTTAGCGGAAGTCATAAATACACGTAAGCAGGAACTGATGAGTCAGCAAGAAAATGGACACGACGATCTCCTCTCGCGTTTCATGATGAAGAAGAAAGAAGTATACAGCGACACTTTCCTCCAACACGTGGTGCTTAACTTCATCCTAGCTGGACGTGACACGTCATCAGTCGCGCTGAGCTGGTTCTTCTGGCTCATCACCATGCATCCGAGCGTCGAGGATAAAATCGTCCAAGAGATCTGCTCCGTTCTAATCGAGACACGTGGCGTCGAGAACGCCGCGTCTTGGACGGATGAGCCGTTAGGTTTTGACGAGATCGACAGACTGGTTTACCTGAAGGCGGCGCTTTCGGAGACGCTCAGGCTTTACCCGTCGGTGCCGGAAGACTCGAAGCACGTGGAGAACGACGACGTTTTACCTGACGGGACTTTCGTTCCGGCGGGATCTTCGGTGAGTTACTCGATATACGCGGCGGGGAGGATGAAGTCGACTTGGGGAGAAGATTGTCTCGAGTTCATCCCGGAGAGATGGATCTCTCCGGTCGACGGGAAATTCATAAACCACGATCAGTACCGCTTCGTGGCATTCAACGCAGGGCCAAGGATCTGCCTGGGGAAAGATCTGGCGTATCTTCAGATGAAGACGATCGCGGCGGCGGTGCTTCTCCGTCACCGGATCACGGTGGTTCCGGGACACAAAGTGGAGCAGAAGATGTCGTTGACGCTGTTTATGAAGAACGGACTTGTGGTTAATCTGCGTAAGAGGGATCTCGAAGGGATTATCAAGAGTCTAGTGGTGGCGAAGAGTGACGGTGTCGTCAACGGCAAATGTGACGGCGTCGCAGTTTGATGGATGATGGAACATGAAAGTTACGATGGAGCCGATAACGTCTCTGATGATTTATAAACACATTTTTTTTTTTAATTCCGAAGAAGAAACAAAAACATGTTGGACTGAAATACGATTCAATATGCATGAAACTGTAAGCATATATATATACATTTCAGTAGTAATTTTATGGTTTCTTTTGTTTATGCGAACTTCTGAAATTTTATTTCATATATTAATGTATTATATTGTTACGAAATTATTATATATACTAGTTGGTGATCAGTCAATTCAATGAATTGAAACCCTTGTTTTTAACATCGAGCTTATCCATCTCCGCTGTGGTGTTCTCCAAGAAAGTTGGCATTTAGAGCAACATTATAGGTGGGATGGGGACAAAGGCCCTTAACATTTTTTAATATTATTTTTATATTTAGGGATGAAGTTAAGGGACTTTGCTAAATGACTTGATTATTGGTGGGACTTAACCTTTGTCCCTTAGTTAAAAAAATTTATTTATTTTAATTGCTTTGTAATGACATATAGAATAGAGCATTTATTTAAAATATATAAAAATAAATATTTAACATTAAAATAGAAATAAGAAAATTACAAAAAACTAAAAAAAAAAATTCAAACATCATAATTAATAAAAGGAAACATACATTTTATTCAATTCATAAAAACTTATAAATTATGACATATTTTGAAGATGTCCAAATTTAATCCATATATTCTCGATCAAATCATTTTTCAAATTGTGATGGACTTGTCTATCCCGAACGCTTGTTCGACGATCCATTGTATTACCGAGATTTGAAGGCATATTGACGGAAAATGTATCCACCTCTTCTCTTTCTTGAAATTCATGAACGTCATACTGAGTGTATGATGATTGTTCATCTTCGACAATCATATTATGGAGTATAATACATGCTCGCATAATATTTGCTATCTTCTCTTTATCCCATAAATGAGATGGGTTTCGGACTATGGCAAATCTAGCTTGGAGGACTCTAAATGCACGCTCGACATCTTTCCGCACAGCTTCTTGGGTTTGAGCAAATAATGAATGCTTCTGACCTTGTGGTAATCGGATAGATTGAATAAAAGTCGCCCATTTTGGATAAATACCATCCGTGAGATAATATGCCAAATGGTATGGATTACCATTAACATAAAAGTTTACCTCTGGCGCTACTCCGTTAATAATGTCGTCAAAAACGGGTGATCGATCAAGAATGTTAAGATCGTTCAACGTACCTGGAGCTCCAAAAAAAGCATGCCATATCCAGAGGTCATATGAAGCTACGGCCTCCAAGACAATTGTTGGTTTATCAGTTCCTCGGGAATACATTCCTTTCCAAGCGGTCGGACAATTCTTCCATTCCCAATGCATACAGTCGATGCTTCCAACCATCCCCGGAAACCCACGTTGTTCTCCAATATGTAATAGTCTTTCCAGATCGTCTGGTCTGGGACGTCTTAAGTATTCGTCGCCAAATAATTGGATGATTCCGGCAGTGAAATGGTGTAAACATTTTCGAGCTGTCCCTTCAGCAAGCCGGACATATTCGTCAACGATGTCAGACCCACCACCATACGCCAATTGTCTAATTGCTGCGGTACATTTTTGGAGCGGAGATAGACTACTCCGTCCGGTTGCATCTACTCTTGGTTGAAAGTATTCTATTTCTGTAGACATAAGATTCACAATACGCAAGAACAAGCTCTTGTTCATTCGAAACCGTCTTCTGAATAAGTTGTGCGGGTATGTTGGAGTTTCACAAAAATAATCATTCCAAAGCTTCGTGTGGCCTTCTTCCCGGTTTCTCTCGATATGTATACGTGGTTTTCTCTTCTTGGGTTCAGGAATAAAATCAGTGTTTTCAAATACATTTTCAAATATATCATCAAAATCATCATCATCATTTTTTCGGTAATGATAATGTGAAGAAGAAGCCATTGAAAATTTATAAAAGAAAATTAATGAAAGATAGAATGAGTTATCAATTTTTTTTTAAGAGAATGAATAAAGAGAGCATATGTTATCAAGAGGAGAATGCATTGTATATATACTACGGTGAGGTTGCTCTTGGGTTGGTCCGTGAAAAGTAGACAACATGCATACAAGTCACGGGTAGACAAGCTGCTACAAGTCACGGGTACAAACCCAAAACTACAAGCAACATCAGTACAAGTCACGGGTACATACATATAGTTCTAAAAGCATTACAATTCAAGAGTAGACAACATCAGTAGAAGTCACGGGTACATACATATAGTTCTAAAAGCATTACAAGTCAAGAGTAGACTACAAGCAACATCAGTACAAGTCACGGGTACTACAAGTCCTAAACCAGTAGTACAAGCACCACTCCAATTACTACTAACACAAGGACCATTATCCCGACATAAGCACCAAACCCATAGCTAGACCTCGATTGATCCTTACCTAAATCACCGACCATTTTCTCTAGAATGGCCAGCTTCTGCTCAGTCTCGTAGTTACACAAAAGGCCAAGATTGTCGACCTTTTCAGAGAGCAGAAGAACTTCACTATCTCTGGCTATCATCTCCTCCATCACTGCCTCATCCCACCATTTCCATACGTGACACTCCCCATCATTTACATTCTCACAAGTGTAGTATCTTCTACCTGTCAGCACATACACAATAAGATATATAATAAGCTTCACCAAACATACACAATAATATATAGCAATAACAAGGTTTTACCAATATCATTCCAGCGACTGTCTGATGAAGCAAGTATTGGCTTAGCGCCACAGTAGCATCTCTGAGGGAACCCGAACTCAACCTCGGGCTGTGGAGGGTAATGAACCGGTGAACGTCTTTGCAAGCTTATCTCCTCTTGGTCACGTCGGATTAGGTCTTCAGTCTCACTGTAGGCACTGTCGACAGAGTTACAAAATAAATCCTCTGACTGACTTGGCTGGCTATAGCTGTAGTCATGTCCCATGTTCTTCTTAACCTGAAAATAAAGCAAGATGTTGTTATTTTAATGTATTAAGCAAGAACATTTTACAGTACTAAGCAAGATGTTGTTATTTTAATGTTAATGGTGTACTTAGTTAATGGTATGAGGCAAACATATTATAAAGACGAAAATGTAACTAAAAGACGTAGTTATTAAAACATATTATAAGAGCAACATTAAAACACAGAAACAGTTATTAAAAACAAACGCATACAAACATAAAAACACAGACATAGTTATTAAAAAGAAACACAGACAAACATAAAACACACACACATAGTTATTAAACCGAGATTTTAAAAAGACATTGTCATAAACAGATGATTAAGCTCTTGTTCTAGAGGAGCAGTAGGAGCTTATTCTTCACAACTTCTTCTGACTCAGATAATGGTGTCGTCTTGGCGAGAAGAGTATCTAGTATGGCCAGCTTACTGAGATTCTCTTGCATTGCCAAATTCTCCTTCTTCATTTCCCATAGAGTAGTATACTCAGCAACTGACTTCCCTTGACCAGTGTTCCTCTTCGATTTAGCGGCCTTGACACCTTCAGGGCGGGTCTCATGATCACCATGCTCAGTGGTTTGAGTTTCAGCTGATGTTTCACCTTTTTTCCTCTTTGAGCTCGCTTTTGGAGTGTTGAGGCTGAGCCATTTCTGTTCATGCCTCAACATACACCACGCATGCTCGAGGCTGAACCTGACCCTCTGAGTAGCGAAAAAGATGTCATGAGCATCCTTGAGAAGATCAGTATCACTCTCACCACTGCCAAGTTTCCTCTCTGCTGCTGCATAAGCGCCGCAGAACTTGTTAACATGATCGTTTATCCTGTGCCACCTCTTCTTACAACAAAGGTGCTCTCTCTTTTCACCATCCTCTACTCCGTGAGGACTTCCTGCGTAATACTCACCAACACGTTTCCAGAAGGTGAGTGACTTCTGGTCATTTCCAACTACAGGGTCCTTGGAAGTGTTGAGCCACGCACTGATTAGAACCTCATCATCAGCTGGGGTCCATTTGCGTCGCACAACACGTTCCACTGGTGGTGTGCCTACGGGTGTCCCTGAAGAATGTTGTGAACTAAAAGGAGGGTTTTCGGAATCTGAGAGTTGAAGACTAGCGTGAAAATTTTCGAAAGGATAGTGTTCATGTTGAACATTACTACCTTCTTGACTGTAAAGCAGTCCTACGTAGCTAGAGGACTGCGTAGGAGGATATCTTCCATCCATACCAGTAAGAAGAGAGAAGAGATTTCGAGGAGATGGTAGAAAAGAGAAGAGATTACGAGGAGATGGTGGAGGAGAGAAACTACCTACGTATATTTAAGGGGGAATGAGAAGTAATAACCAACCACTTGTTGTTAATGCCTAACCGGAAACAAGAAATGTCTAATCTAAAGTTATTATAGAGCTAAAAGGCTATCACTGGAAATGGTTGGTGTGGAAGAAGTAACCACGACAGTGGCTTAGAAGTTATTACAGCAAGCTATCTCACTGTTAATGTCTAATCAAAACTTATTACATCTTCAAGCAATGGCTTTATTAAAACACATAAACATTTAAAAAGGTGTACTTTCACCGGAAAGGGTAGGTGTGATTGTTTAAAAAAGCGAGTTCATTCAAACCATAACTCTAACTTTGTATTTTAAAATCATTTCAATTTTCAAAGTTCCAAACTCAAATTCAGTAGTTATCTATTAGAATATCAGATCATATATCCGAAACAATCATACAATGTAAAAGAAACAACCATAGAACATGTATATTTCCTTTCGAAAAAAATCATACAATCCAAGCACTGATTCTTACCAAGCACACTTATAATCAATCTAATTATCTAAACGAGACAACCATAAAACAGAGCTTCAGAAACAAACAATTCAATCTCAGAACTATATTCCAACCCGTAATGAAAATTTCAATCAAATTATCAAAACGATTTGGTCATTAAAAACATTTCAAATATTCACACATGTAAACTCAAATTCAGAGATTATCTATACGAATATCAAATCATATTTCCGAAACAATCATACCTTGTTACGATTTTTTTAACTACACAACCCTAATCACATTTTCACTCTCAGAACGGAGGGGAAAGACATACCTTGTTACGATTCTCAAACGATTATGGATGGTGGGAAACGAAGCGAGCCGACGAGTTTTAGGTCTTCGTCATCGGAGATATCAGAGTCGGATGGGCTGGGGAAGCAGCTT